AGAACCCTAGCATCGATCATCACCATCAACTCAAACACCTGCTCAGATACATTCGTGGCACGACAGACCTAATGCTCGTCTTCGGCTTAACCAATGATGGTCTCATTGGTCACTCTGACTCCGACTACACTGCAGACTGTGATGACAGCAAATCAACCAGTGCCTACGTATATCAACTGTTCGGTGGTCCCATTAGCTGGAAGGCCCAAAAGCAGTCTGTTGTTGCAACGTCGACGACGGAAGCGGAGTACATTGGGCTTTCGAATGCCTCGCAGGAAACGCTATACCTCATCCAATTACTCCATGATTTTCACATTGACCCTGACCTATATGATCCTCCTCTCCTCTATGGTGATAACCAGGCCAGCCTTGCACTTTCCAAGAACCTGAAGTTCCACGAAAAGGCGAAACACATTCACGTCCATTACCACCTCATCCGTGGTCTTGTCGACACCAAGAAAATCAAGCTTGAGTATAAGTCAACGTCGGAGATGCTCGCTGATAGCCTGACGAAGGCCTTACCACGTCCAGCTGTGATGCGTCATCGAGAGGAGATGGGTCTTTGCCGTCAGATTACACCAGATGGTCTGACGAGTGGGAGTGTCAAGAGCAGCCGATAGCGTCTGTCTGACCACCCGGTCATGACGACAAGTGACATATATATCAGAGACATTTTACAGTACCTGGCTCCATTTCTCCAGTTCCCTTTTACTACTTAAGACGACAGATGCCCATCAGCACACCTCAGTCTCTCTACCCGTGACTGAGGTGTGTATTATCTGTTCTAGTTCTTATATCACTATACTCATTACTTAACATTGTACAGGCTCGTATTCTAGGTTCATAGTACTACAGGAATTCAGTCTCTCTACCCGTGACTGAGGCTTGTATCTAGCTCTCACCTTTCACACTCCCTCTACCATCTCCGCTTTTCCAACCCACTCGGTTCCTCCAGTTTCTCCAGTATCAGTCTGTCCAACTGCCTCACTGGTCCACCACTAGACTAGGAACCACTCAACTGGTCCTATCTCCTTTTAGTATCATAGCTTCTCCTTTAGGATCCCCGGTAATCCTCATAACCAAGTGATTATTGATCCGTTGCGCACATACTGTTCTCTGAGCCCCTTTCTCATATGTCTCTGTCATCTTCTAGTAATTCTGTACACTCAGCACATAGCCTTCTGCTATGCTATGCTACTTACTTAGAGTATATAAACATATGTACATCTGTCTGTAGATCTTTAGTCTGAATATTACCTTTTCTAAGCCCTGCTCTCTTGTCCCTGTTCTTGGGTAAACCCCTTGACAACTCCTGTTTCCCGGCCTAGGGGATTGACTCCCTAGGTCAGCTGCCTTCTCCATTTGTCCAACTTCCCATGCCTCCGCCGCCCTTCCCGTGCGTCGGACTTGTGGCTACAACTCTTGTACCTCTGTCCTCCACATTTCCATTCTGCTTCAGACTTCACCCAAGCAGTCTCCTCCGCTCCACTCCTACTGTTAGCTCCGACTGCAGTAGTCCTCCAACTCTCCCCTGTAGGGCGGACCAATCTCCGCCCAATGTTCCTGCGCTTATCTAGTAGTCCATTGGTCCTCCTTCAGAGGACCTCCACTCTGACATCCTGTCGGAGCTCATAGAACTCGAGTTGGACTACAATCCGAAATGAGGGGCACATACTCGGGTAAGGGGCGCAGCATATGAGCTGAAGCCAAGCCCCTCAAACTCTGTCTTACCCCTGAGCATGGTCTTAACAGCCACTTATGACTGACAGTTTTCCCTGCAGTATTCCACCTGACCAGCAGCATCTCATTTTTGCTGGCAAGCAGCTCAAGGATGGTCAGACACTCCGACTACAACATCCAGAAGGAGTCTATTACCCTTCACTTGGTCTTGCATCTCTGTGGAGGCATGCAGATCTTTGTCAAGACCCTCTTCAATATTCAACAATGTATGGAGAAGTAAGAGGTCCTTCTGCACATCTCATTCAACAAGTGAAGGCTACAGGTCATCCACGCTTAAACATCAGAGGAGTCCCCCACTTGGTTGGTCCATGAGGCAGCATATCTCATCCTTCATGTCAGAGGTAGCACACCATGATAAGGAAGGCAAAGATCCAGGATATAGGGTCCCTTTCCAGCACAGCTCAAGACAGACATTTCTGACTACAACATTCAGAAGGAGTCCACCCTCCACCGCATTTTCTGACTACAACATCCAGAAGGAGCCTACCCTTCACTTAGGTCTTGACATCTTTGTGGAGGCATGCAGATCTTTAGTCAAGACCCTCACAGGCAAGACAGTCTCATTGGAAGTGGAGTCTGCTTACTACACTACCCTCTGAATCACCTATCTTTTCCCCCCACTGCAGTCTGTCATCATGTGGCCTCCATTAATGTACCATCCACTTTCCCCAGCCATCTGAATCCAACAATGGCACCGTCTCATCCACATTACCCCCATGACCACCTCCACCCTTCTAATAATACAGCTGATGCTGTCCCCCATGACCTAATTTGTACCATAGGCTTGCAATCCAATAGCAAAATTTCACCACTCTAACCATGATTGTTATGCATCACAATGCCATGTTCTTGATGACAATGAGCTTGACAATGATGCTTGCAATAGTCATTTAAATGGGACGAAAATGGGAGGTTTGAATGATAAATTCCATTTAAACAAAAACTACAATTCAGTTGCAATTCAGTTGCAATCACCCTGAAATCATGACTCTATTATGGCAACCTATTTAAAGACATGCGCTGCATTTGGAAGTTGAAACTGGTTGCAAACCGTTGAAATGCAAATAAGGAATTTCCAACATACTACTGTAGTGGGGTTTTGCTACTGTGCTTCAGCTTGCTACATAGAACTATATAGTTCAAAATGTCCCACTGATGTTGGGGTCGTGATAAACCCCAATGGCTCAGTGTAGACCAAAAATGCATCCATAACACCCAGCAATCAGCACATATGATGGGAGGAGTTGTGGGCTTCTATGTTTGAGCTTACAACAGGACTACAAATCTGCATTGTAAGCACTTCAGTCATATTCTATGTTTGAGATTTCTCCTCTTCCAAGATCTCCATTGCTCGAGTGGCAGTAAAATTTGTTCAGAAGCAAACACATTGATCAACTCAGCAACAAACTGACATGTCATCCCATCGACCATACTGCACTGATGTGAAAGCAGAAACACGATTCACTGCCACACTAGGTGTAGCAAAAAAAAGAGGACCTATCGTGCTGGTGAGTTATGTGGTTAAATACAGGACACAAACTACTCATACTCACACATTTCTCATAGGGATAGGGGATAGGGGCAGACCTTGCACTCTCTGGTATGCTTGCAAAACTGTCAGACATCTCAGAATCGAGGTGTGACTCAAACACAATGAAAAAAGACCTAGATACTGAAAGAATAGACCAGCACAATGTTAGGAAGAAAGAAGGTTGTATGACTCTCAAAGAACAAGTAGTAACTAGCAAGCAAGCGAGAACAAACATCATATCCCGTGACCGAAACACAAAAGTTCATGACATTACCCCTCCGTAAGGGCTGCGTCCTGCAGCCATGGCTGGTCATCCAATGCATCATAAAATCTTTCTCTTCTCTCATCCTTTCCGATATGTTCGTTCCGCTCAAAAATACCATTTCTTCTTGACAATGATTCCAACAATCTTTTTGGGATGTATACAAGCAGCCGCCGGTAGGATTTATTACTTGACATGGGGTTGATGGGATTGGCACCAAAGGAGGATGCTTTAAGATTGCTCTAAGACGAGAAGCGCGAGCCAAGATGCATTTTCGGAATGTACTGATTATGATGTGGAAAAACAACGAGTCAGGGATTGCCTCCAAGATCAGTAGCGTAAGCACTAGTATCTTGCAGGTGTGCACGGGCGGTAAATGAGTTCATACCTTACTTAAGGGGCCAAGAGAGCACCATCTGTCCTCTTTACTCAGTAGGAAATGTAGGAAGTATAGGTGAGCTGACTGCATACAAATAGGATCTACCACGCCGGTGAGTCGTGTGGTTAAATCTGGGACGCAAACTACTGATAGTCTCATACTCACGCATTCACGAAAATTAACGGGGCAGGGTGCGCAGTCGCTGTTACGTAGGCAAAAGACAGGACAGCTGAGATCACTGGCAGATATTGCTGTTGTCAAAGCAGCAGCAACGGCGAGGATCAAGAAGAAACGCGTTTGTCAGGATGTGATATTGGATCAAATAAGTCTGAAGGGAACAGTAGGAAGACGGCTTGCTTTAATGTGCTGAATATTGAAATCTGAATCTGCAATGCCAGCAGATCGCCAACAGACCTCAAAGTTGACTCGCTCTTAAGCTAGTATTTCTATTGCTGTAGGACACGATGGTAATGTCCTCGCGAACGTTAGTACTCGACAAGTATGATAGAGCGAAAGCATACCTAAGTATTGTTCGCACCTACACGAAGCTCATTGACGTGGCACGCGGTCGTGACGCGGCATGTATGGGGCTTGAAGCAGCCTGGGTAGGGCTTGACGTGGTACCATGTGGCTTGACGCAGCATGGGTGGAGCTCGACATACATGTATTGAGGGTGCATGTGGCTTGACAAGGTAGGGCCCGGGGATGAGGCTTGGTAGACTGACACAGGCCGAACAACACTTCATCTGAAAGCTAACATTAGACCACCATCCGTCGTCGCCCGAGACGGCACAGGAGGCATAAGTACTTATACAACTCATACTCACGCATTTCTCACGCCAGGAGTAGTGATGGAAAAGTTCGGTCCAACGTTCAACGACCCAGGAGAACCGAACCGAGGGTTCGATTCTCCGTTCAGTGATCCTTGAGCCGCGTTGAACGCGTCTGACACACGCCAGTCCCTAGTACTACTACGTAGTCGTGTGAGCTCAATGGGATGTATATACAAAGTTGCTAATTTATACACGTGACTGTATGTTGTTTGGCAAGACCCTCTAAACCAAACAATATGATTCAATAAGTCGCAACGTCACGGTTGCCGCAACGGAAGCATCTTGAACGTCGGGAATGATGCTACTGCAGTGGTGCACGCTCCGCCCTGCAGGCCCGTCCAAGCTATCCGCTATCAGGTTCTCGTCACCTAGCCGAGTGCACTCGATCAAGATATTTCCCACAGACGTGCAGCCCTTTGGTCAGTGTTCAGACATCATTGCGTGAGTGCAACTGTTCCTGATCATGCCGCGTAACATAGAAATAACCATATAATAAGCCGCACAGAACCAGAGGCGTTCTTTCTTGATGTCTATTTCAATGCCCACCCCGTGGGCTCACAAGTGGACGCGAAGCAAAAGCTCAAGGCACCTAATGCACTCATGCCAACCGTCATTCCATATGCAGGTGGTATAGTGGAATATGCAGTGAACATGGGATCCCAGGTACGATTGTATGTAATGTACACATTGTCTTTTCCAACTAAGTTCTCAGTTTGCGACTCGTTTAATGATTGTACGTGGGGACTTTGAAACAGTGTCGATGGCCATATACGGCGATGTCGTTTCAGATACTTCACCCAAGCCAACTATCTACTCACCCCTCTCCCTACCCACCCATTCCTCCGTTCCCCTTGTGCCCGCCCTAGACGCTGCAAAGAGTAACGACCCAACTGCGCTTGCGAGGAATCTCCTGGCACTCATTCCCAACGCACCCTCCCTTGCCCTCGTCATTCGCCTTATGTTCTGCCTCAAGCAACCCAATGATGACTGGGAGCTCCCAGAATTCCCACATCTTTACTCCGACCTGAATGAGGAAGACATGGACATCGATTTAGATACCGCGTACCGATCCTTGAGTCGCTCCGTCCCGGATGACATTTCTTCGGAGCAATTGCAGCGCTTTGCAAAGAAGGTCTCCGAGGCTGTCGGTCCTAGGGTACGTCTTCTAAGTCAAAGCCTATTTAAACCCATCAACTCGTTTCACAGGACGATGCACAATCGTATCTCATTGCGGGCATTCTGTCTCGCTCTGCTTCGCAGACTCCCGAATTTGCACAAGCATTGATGGTAGGTCAATTATTAGGTGCACAACACTTGTTTTCATACCCTCGCAGCAAGCGCTCGAACTGGAGGCGATCTTTGATGCATCGACTTTCGATGAGGACGCTCTATTCACACTTCTGGACGCTTCCACAAATCCCGATATATCACGGTTGTTGAAGGCACCGTGGTTTCTTAACGTCCTACGAGCTGTCCTTGCGCTGCCGACAGTTACCCCCGAGATGAAGAGAGCTTGTCGACGGTTAGGTGATCGAGTAGGATCATGGGCAGTCTTTGAACAAGCGCTTTCTGGGGTTCCAGATGCAGACTACACACGGGCGGCACTGTTTCTAAAGGACATCGGAAAGGAGGAGAAGAGTTTTGGCATATGGCTATCGTGTATCACCACTCACGAGGACCTTCTTGAGAAGATCAGAAATGCGCCGGAATACGAAGGCGTGTATCCGCTGGATTTGATGTCTGGCTTGAACCCCTCGGAGGAAATAACGCATTCGGAGTTTATGGCATTCGTTAGAGCATATGTTGGCGTTGCTTCGGTGCTAGCTGTGTATGCCTGGTCCGATAGCCTTCCGAATTTACACTGTCGCGAGCGCACTCTGGGCGTTTTGCGCTTGTGGCAAGAAATTCCTGGATATCGTGCCGTAAGTCTTACCTTCATCATTTTTGTCAACTTCTGATGAGTGTATCAGATTATTTCCCCTCTACTCCTGCTACCCCAGATGACCTTCCGCCTGGAATGCATGACAATCGGGAATGAGCCGCCTACAACTGCGGGAATCAACGCCGAGTCCCTCCTTTTCGCGCTCGCAGCCAATCCGCAAAGTTTCCTCAACTCTGATTTTGTACGCTGTGTGCGGGGCTGGGAACCATGGAGCCTGACATGGATCAATGAGCGGGAACGAGCAGACATAGAACGCGCCGCCAAACTCGCAGACGAAGGCGTTGGCGGGGCTGTAGAGGAGCTCGTCGGGTTCGCCAAAGAAGGTCTCGACGCAATCTTGGATCAAGGCAGGACACGGACTCTCAGGGTTGCCGTAGCTGCCATCATGCACGTGCTGGAGGACAACACCGAAAGCGGAACCAAATGTGGTGACTGGACGGTATTACAGGCTGTATGGGGTGAACATACGCACGGACTTCTCAATTACGCCATCGATGTGTTTACTCGTATCAGCGTGGAGGTAAAGCAAGGGTTCTCGTTGACGCCCTCCTCGTCAGCCTACGATTGGTCTCGAGCCGCTCTTACTCCTGACGAATGAGAGCCTCCACCTCATTGCGAGCTTACATGCGCTCTCCATTACAACAAGTCGTGCGGTGCGATTACTCGTGAGCGGCGTTCTGGACATGTACAGCTGTGCTGATGCCGCATCCCGTGAATTCGTCGCGAGCAGCGCTATACGCGACGCTGCACTCCTCGTCAAGCATGCGTGTGCCAATGTGCTGCCTGTGTTTTCAAGGGGCTCGCAGGATCCGCGCAAGTGCGGCCCGTCTGTAGTCCTCCGCGCCCTCTTTGAACAGGGTCTCAACTTTGATAATGTGGATCCTGCGAGGAGAGTTTTGAGTGCTTTTGATCTGGTCATGAGGGTTCTGTCGGATGATTTACCCGTAGGACTGGATGGCCGCTGTGATTCCACACACTCTAAACCCCCTCACCCTCTTCTTCCGGCATCTCGACCCCTTGCACAAAGTACAGCTGGTTCGGCAGCTTGTCAGTCTCGATCAGGGTGTGTTAGGCCTGGGCGACTTTCTCGTCCAAGGGGAAGTGAAGAGACTTGCCGGTCTTCTGCGGGTGATGGCCGAGAGAGGGGTTGTCACGCAGTGGGAAGTGGGTGCAGGGCTCGAGTTTCTGGCAGGGTTGATGGAAGGCCAAGACGGCGACTGGTGTACAGCCGCATTGCGCGAATCGGAGTGGGGAACCATCATGTCTGGCTTACTCGATGCCAGCCTTTACTCCAAACATCTCGGAACGATTGCCGGGAGGTTAGCTGAGAACCCAGATTCCCTAGGGATTGAGGTTAGGCTTTCTGTCGTCGCTGCCCTCCTACGTGGAGTACAGCTACAAGAACCAAGCGTATGCAATATGAACGCGTTCGGCTTGATCTCCGCTGTCCTAGAGACTACCGATGAGAAAGATAGGGATCCCGAACGGCTGTTATGGGAAGTGGGACACGCACTCGCTGCAGTCGTAGAATCCAGCAGCAGCAACAGCAACAGCCTCTCCTCTCTCGACTCCGAAAGCGTCGTCAACACCCTCCTGCTCCTCGATTCCCCATCTCAATCCGATCTCCACGGGCTAACGGCAGACCAATGGGGAAAACTCTGCTCTCACTTAGAAACGAGCTTACCCCCTAACATGCTCGCTATGCTCCCTATCATCAAAGGATTCCATCCCTATCCCTCGTCTTCCCCACCACCCACGATATCACTCCTCCCATCGACTGTGGGACTCCTCCCGCTTTGCGATTTGATCTCCCTCCTCCAACCTCCTGCGCCTATACCCTCTACCCCACCACCAAAGCGTAAATCGCCTAGTCAGGATGTCTTGGGACTCGTCGCTATTTCCCCGCCGACCGCGGTTTTGCGCTCGCCTGCTGTTACGGGTCTCACCAAGACGTATACCCGGAATGATTTTCGGGAGTTGAGGCAGTTACCGAGTGCGAGGCAGAATACGAGTCGGTTACCCAGTATGCATGTCGATGTGGGTATTCATTTTTTGCTCTGTTTTGGTGTTTTGGAGCTGACAGCATGTAGGATTTCGTTCAAGTCGAAATGACATCTTCACCACTCCTTCAGCCCGTGGCGCCAACAGGAGACATGTTAAACCTCTCCCCGCCTTTCAACGTCGGGAAAGAGAATGGGTACATTTAGTTTAGAAATCATGTTTTTGTTTTTGTGTTTGAGTCGTATTGCTGCGTGCATGCGGTAGGTACATTGGAAGTTCTGGTTCTGGTTCTGGTTCTTGTAATGTGTAAGATATGTCTGTATACTACGATGCTACAAGCCTTGTCAATGCACTGCTATCTGCTATAATAAACCAATCGATCATGAAGAAACCCAGTATGTAGAGGAATCTGAATCTATCTAGTATGGATGTCGGCTTCGAAGGTCGTGAGAGTGTGGATGTGTTTCTGGGGGTGGTAGGGATTGTGCTGGTGGGGAGCGGAAATATCGATCCATGTCTGATTGGTCGAATTCTGATGGAGGTACAGGTGAGAACGGCAGGTTTGAGGATGGGTTTGGGGATGATGAGTGAGCTTGAGATTGGAGTTGAGCTTGAGACTCCGGCGGTTTCGACCTCCCAATCCTATATATCCGCTTCCGCTTCGCCTTCACAGGCGGCCGCTCATTCATCACCTGTGATGCGCTCAATGTCCTCGGAGGCACACTCCGCACCGTAAAATGCGCAAGACTGCGCGTATACGGCGATAGCGTATGATTCGAATGTGATAGCGTAGACAATTGTGAAATGGTATTATTCAGCGCGGGGCGGAGGATCACGGGGTCTGGGTCTACGTTGGTGGTGTGTGTTGGTGGGGAACTTGAGCTCCAGGAGTCAAAGTGGTTTATGTTGGACGAGGAGGTACTGAGGCGGCGGGCGTTGAGGGGTTTTAGGGGCGATATGGATGCGACGTAGATGGATGAGGGTGGGGTGTCGACGAGGCTGGTGCTTGATGAGAATTGGGTTTCGAGGCTGGAGGGGGTGATGGGGCGGGTTGGAAGGGATTGGGTGGTGTCGTATGTAGGCTCGGATAGGGTGCGCTGGCGAGGCTCGATGTACAGTGAAGGTGTGAGAGGGAAGTATGGGTTGAAACTAGAGTGGGGCCGATGGGAGAAGCGTCCTCCTATGGGGTGTGAGCGGACTGAAGTTGCGTCTGGCAAAGGCAAATGGGATGTTTCCGAGGGAGTCTGGATCATGGATTGTGAATGGTATACACGTGGACGGGTGATTGTGCCACCGCCTACTGCAGGCAGGGTCTCGTATTCCGTGACAGACTCTTCGACTATGGTTGGGGGTGGTGAATACTCGGGTACTGCATCTCCCCAGTCGACAACGTCGAATGAACCCTGCTCTTCTTCGCTTTCTAAGCTCTCGTCTTCTCCGGGCTCTTCTGCGAGATCTGCGAGGCCCATGTTGCGGGTGAAAAGGCGGCTGAAGGATGAGAAGACACTCTTTGTTGGGAGACCTTCGGGACGGAGGCCGTATGTTGGGTCAAATATTTCTGACTCGGGGATGGAGGAAGATGGGTCTGATGCTGACGGGCTCGTAGGTGGGGGAACGGGAGGTGTTCGGGAGATGGTACTTCTATGGGCTGAGCTTGATACAGATGCACCCGATATTGAGCGTGCGCGACCATAGGAAAGCGTGCCGAGGGATTGCTGACGGAGCATCTGTAGCCCGATGCCAGAAAACCCAGGTGACATGTAAGCTAGATCAGGCGCAGAAACAACATCGAAAGCTCTGCGCCGCGCTGTTGGTGTTCTCTTGTCGAGATATGGTGCCTCCACTTTAGCTTTTACCCACTGTTGACTGAGACGATGTATGATTCCTGGTAGATCTTCCCTGAACATCTGCCTGAGTTGCCCTTCAATCTCGCGCTGGATAAACTTTTGGATTACGGCTATAGAGTCGAATGTGCTGTTGATATCGACGTTCTGGAGGGGGTCTGTCTTGAATACGAGAGTGATGCCTTTTTGCTTTGAGACAACTAAGACGACATAGGAGTTGAGTTTGAAGTGAGAGAGGCGGAGGAGCATTGGGACGACGAGGGGGTCTTTAGCAGCGAGCATTCCACGAGAGCCTGTCATGATATGTATGTCGGGCTGTTTGTGATTCAAGGGATTCGCCTACGTGAAGAAAGTGTCAAGATAGCCGAAATAGGCGTATATAAGTAGCATACCTGCACTTTGGTCTTGAGCACGATATGTGCATCGCCTGCATATGTAAAGCGAAATATGCCTCGAAAGTGGTCCGTCGTCAAATCACCTATATCTCGAATTTCGAGTTCTGGGGGCTGTCGAGTGTGGTATGAGGAGATCGCTGCCATGAACATCCAACGACCCAAAACTTACCTGTGTTCCCATCTCAAGTTCAACGACCTCTATCTTGTCAGTTATGACTGGCGGTTTGTTACCCTTGTTGAGGGCGTTATTAAGCATCTGGATGGCATCGGTGTGGAACTGGTCGGAAAAGCGTGGCCATTCGAAAGTGAACGACATTCCCGTGCGTCAACTGCAGTGATTTTCCAGCCAGCTAGCATTCAAAAACTTTAGAGGCGGGTTCAAAGGTGCATTTTTTGGATGACTATAAGATGGCCCGTGGATGCACGTAAGGGAACGGCTCAGTTACGGAAGCAATTGCTAAACTCGGACCCGTTCTTTAAGAGACTCGTGAGCTCCTTGAAGCTTTCTCCGTCCGTCTCCTTAGTATTAGAAGGAACGACTATCTTCCTTCATTTATATAGGGCTGTCTAGGGGAGACTATCTCCTTAGCCAGACCTGTCGTTATTATGAGTCTCCAAAAGGACTTTCTTCTGCCACTGCCCTTGTTTCAATCGGTAGGACTCGTTTTTAGACATGTTACACCGCGAACGTTCAAATAATTACAGCTGTTTGCGCAGAGAATGGCAATGAAAAACACGAGACACTGCCAACCTTTGTACAACTGCTGTGGCGTCGGCGATTTTGTCTCTGGGCTTTCAAGTCAATCTGGCTAGTTAGTCCCCTTGATTATCTTGTGAATTCAACAATAGCAAACAACCGCTCCGCTATGAATGTGACGATTTGTGCTTCCCACTCCACTCTAGAAGGTAGTAGTCCATTGTCGATAAATTGAGACTGCTAGCTCCCGGAACCTGGGCCGAAACCCCGTAAGTATTTATCGCGACACATACTCAACTTGTTTGAGGCCAGCTGTTACTGCGTAACGACGTGTTTGGACGACGTGCGGAAGATTGAGGTTGCGGTATTAAACGATAGGAGAACGATGTTCGGCGATGAGTTAATCGAATGATCACATTTAGTAAGTTCCCCTATTCCGACATTATTCCTTGTTTCATCATGACAGCCCACTCGCCTGTTGAACTGTGGCTCATCGTCTTGTCTTTCACCAAAGCCCTCAAATTATCCTCGAATGACCTAGCTTCACCCTGTACGAGTCTATCACGGTCGACAACTCTGACATCTGCACAACGCTCGCAGAGCGTGCTCGTCTCGCCGAGAAAGTCAAATCTTTCATCTTTACATATCCGACGATCATGGACTGCTACGGTCCCGGAGTGTACCTCAAGAATCTCACATCTGCCCTCAGAAATATGCTGTCATAGCTCGCTACCCACACACCTCAGTCTCACGACCCGCGACTGACGTGTGTATATCTTATTTGTACTCGTTATGCACGTTACTTACTTACTATTGCCCTAGGCTCGTATCTATAGCTCTCACCTTTCACATCCAGATTATGTCGAGGAAATCACCCTGACGGGTTTTTCGCTACTCGGGTGAGCAATACTCATTCTTACTTATCGCAGGAATATTGACAACCGTATAGCACCTGTGGGAGAGACCAAGGCAGATTTTTAAGCGCTGGCGATATAATTTCCATCGCATGCTGAAATGCATCTCGAATTTGAAAAGGCTGACGTTCTGGTTGGATGGTAAGCGCGAAGACGGTTGCTAATGGGCTCGACTTCTCTTCGAACAGTTCTATGAAAAGCATTATTGGCACCTTTTGGAGTGTCGAGAATCGCACTGCGCAACGCGTGGCCGTGTTCTATAAGATTTTCTATGGCAAGATGGCCGGAGAGCGGTCCGTGAGGATATGCGCTTCTACCAGCGCATCGTGTGCGTCCTTTTACTTGTCACGGTGAGCTGATGACACGCTCTAGGTCTGTAATCATGCTGAGGCTAACACGTTGCCTGGCTTGTTGCGAGCTGGCATTAACCTTGCTTCGCAAGGTGATCTTTTGTTACAGGTTAAATTACTACTTCACAAGGTAGATCTTAGGTGGCAATCTGCTGTCATTGTAGATACCATCTGTTCGAAAAGGGATTTCAGGTGGATAGGTTCTTCTTACATCGTCATAAAGAACAATATTCAGCACATAAAAGCAAAGTGTATTCCTACTGTCCCTTCAGCCTATTTATCGGATCCCATATCACATCTTCACAAACGACTGCATGCGTTTCTCCTTTGTCATCGTTGTTGTTGCTGCTTTGACAGCATCAATATCTGCCAGTGATGCTGACAGTGAAAAATGTCCTGTCTTTTGCGCGGGGAAGGACGACTGTAAAGCCTGCCCCTGGAATACATATACATGCGTGAGTATGAGTAATAGTTTTCGTCAATTTAACCACACGACTCACCGACGTGGTAGCTCGCCTTTGTATGCCTCTGAGCAGTTTGATGCTGACTTGATCAATGTTCAAGTCGTGATGGTTGCCTCGATCGAGTGGCAAAGGAACCGATCACGATCGTCGATGAAGAGTCCAGACCCCTTAGTAGTATTCTCCCAGATATAACTAGTCCGACATGATGCGGCGAGAGAGGTCCATTGGCGTGTTGATCAAAGGCTCTACTGTTCGGGCGATTGGCTAAGGTCGTGCTTTCTTCTGTATTATGTAGTAAGAGATACCCACTGACCTTAGCGTTGTGCTATTATTACTGTCAACTTCGCATGCGATGATATTGGCGGCACGGTCAACAAATGACATCGAATCTCGAACAGAAACCACGCTTTCACATCGTCCCCCGCAAGATTTATTAACTTACACGTCGATGAACAGCTAGTTGGTATGTAAGCCGTTAGCACCGCATTTCAGGTGTTGCAATCGGCAGGAGAGAGACATAGTACACCGTCAGCTTTGTAGTATGGTTTCAAAGAATCCGGCGATCCGAACGCAATGTACGCAACATCCACTATTCTCCCCAGTCAGTAAACCACACGCACAACAAATAACAAAACCACTCACCCATGAAGCCTCGAAACGCCCAAAACATCCAAATTCGCAACCCTCAGCTGTTTCCTCTCCATCTCCATATCTTCACCATCGCCAAACCACCTCCGCGCGCTCTCCCTCCTTAAATCCCATTCTTCATATTTCTGTCTAATCTCTATCACTGAGAGGCTTTCGAGGGAATCTTGTTTGTTGGTAAGGAGAAGGGACGTGTCGAAGATTTGGGGGAGAAGAGGACTGAATATTCGTCGACGCCATTCATGATTTTGTGGTTGAGTGGGGGGAACGTACTTAGTAAAGACTTCCCAGCCTCTCTCGGTCTTGCGCGTCGATAATGTACGCCACGGCGTGACAGTCGTCATAGTATCTATGTCAGATGGACCGGATACCGCGTTGTCCTCCGAGGTCGAATTTTTTTTGGATACTTGATGAGACTCATGGGAGTGATATCTTTGTCACATTCAGTGAGGGTAAGCCGGGGTTATATGAGAGTCACCTACTCTGCCTCACAGTAGATCCGATCTTAGACGGGTCGAGTCCAGGAGTCCAGTCATTATGTTCTCAAGAAATGTCTATCTCTTCTCAGCGCTGTACCTCGCTTGAAGTGCAGGAAAGAGACGTACTGTAACCTGTTGTGCCTGCACCGTCAAGGGAATGCACGTAAAATTACCGTAAAGGCCCGGGAGCGGCTCAGTTACGGTAGCAATTGCTAGTAAGCCCAGTTCAGCTTTCGCATCGACAACGACAATTTTCCATATATACCACCATTTAATGTGGTCATGATAAACCCCAGCGGCTCAGTGCACATGCATCCATGATGCCTATTAACCAGCGGGCTTCTATGTTCAAACTTTGAGACTACAAAACTGCGTCGTAAGTACTTTAGTTATAAGTATTCTAAGATTTCCCCTATTCCATGATCTCCATTTGCTCGAGCGGTACTGAAATTTGCTCAGAAGCAAACACATTGAAAAAACCACTAGTAACGCACGCGTCGTGCCATCAACCATACTGCACCAGACTGCACCAATGTGAAAGCAGAAACACGACTCAGCCCTGCCACACGCATACAAAGAAGATCTACCGCGTCGGTGAGTCATGTGGTTGAATCCAGGATGCAAACTGCTCATACTCACGCATGCATATATATCACTGCAGCCTCTGCAGTTTTTACTATGCCAGCAAACTTTGGGACAATTTTCACTGTCAGCGTCACTGGCAGATATTGATGCTGTCAAAGCAGCAACAACGGCGAGGACAAGGGAGAAACGCATTGTTTGTGAGGATGTGATATAGGATCAAGCAAATCTGAAGGGCATAGTAGGAAGACGCCTTTATGTGAAGAACCTATCCACCTGATATCCTCTTTCGAACAAATGATATCTGCAATGCTAGCAGATTGCCACCTCAGATCTTGAACGGTCCAACCATAATTTTGTTACGTTGTGAAGCAAGGTCAGTGCCAGCTCGAATCGGCTATCGGGAGCAAACCGATGTTTCCTTTATTTCCCATGCAGGTCAACACGTAAATCGAGCACTGGCAAGAATGACATAGTAACAATCAGCCTGTGACGCAGCACTAAGTATTATAGATTATAAATACCTTTTATGTAAATTCATATCATGTACATTCTGTCGCTCGAAACACTGTTGATTTTCATTGTCCATGAAAATTTGAATGTCCATCTGCGTGCAGACCCTAGAGTGCTGAAATGGAAAATGGACATCTCACCACATTTACAGTGTCTGCCACATAGGACTCCGCGTTCGTACATCTCGGGGATCTGTCAAGTTGGAATATCCCTCTTGTGTTGCCTGTTTACTAGTAATGTTAGCTTTCAGATGAGGCTGCATGAAGCGCTGTCAGCCTACCAAGCCTCGTCCTCCCCCGCCATGTCAAGCTACATGCACCGTCAGTACAATCATAATATCAAGTCTCCGAACCCTTGCTGCGTCAACCTTCAGCCATACCGCATCAAGCCCTATGAAATTACCATGTCAAGCCCCACACATGCTGTGTCAAGCCTTGCCCGTGCTGCGTCAAACCTTACCCGTGCTGCGTCAAGCCACCCCTATGCCGCGTCAGTGCTGCAACAGTTCGTCCAGGGGCAACAACACTTAGGTAGTATATTGTCTATCTATCATGCCAGTTCGATTTTTAACCGCATTTCCTTCCATGCTAACAGAATTCGATGTCGTAGACTGTAATTGTCTGTAGGCAGTGACAGAGACATTATTTGCTAAGCATCCTGATAGTCGCAACAGTTTAAAGTGGCGTCCATTGAAGAGATCATTTCTCCAACACGTCCCAGCTTCATTTTGTCTCTTATGGACTAGAGAAAAACCAGTGTCGTGCCTTTTCAAAACTCATATATCCTATGCCTTTTGTGAGTGCTTCGATACCGGAGTTGCGGAATCAAGCACGTTAATCAACGAACCAATACTAATAATTCGCGCATCGTGCCATCAAACCATACTGCACCGATGCGAAAGCGGGGGCAGGACTCACTGTAGTTCACTGTCACGATATGCCACTCACACGTGTATACAAAACCAGATGAACTATAATGCCGGTGAGTGATGTGGTTAAGCACAAGATGCAAACTACTTATACTCGCGCATTCGTCCTTAGTGCAGCAGGCTTGCTTGAGGCAAGCTGTAGGACATTTTTCAATGTCAGGGTCACTGGCAGGTATTGATGCTGCAGATATTGATGATGTCAAAGCAGCAGCAATGGCGAGGACAAAGGAGAAATGCATTGTTTGTGAGGATGTGATATGGGATCGAATAAATCGAAAGCAGGGAAGAGAACTTGCCTTTATGTGAAGAACCTATCCACCTGAAATCCTCTTTCGAACAGATGTTATCTACAATGCCAGCAGATTGCCACCTAAGTGCGTGCAACAAAATATCAACTTGCGAGCCAAGGTTAATGCCAGCTGGCAACAAGGACTGGTCAGCTGTCACAGTCTCCAGAAAGTCTGACATTGCGCAATCTTTTGAAAACATTATAAATCGATTATATTAGTCGTTGTCGTCTGGTTGGAATTGACCTTCCTTCACCAAGGTGATATTTTGTCCCACGCCAAATCACCAATAAACTTGCAATGATAGACCTTGCTTCACAAGGTAGACTCGGATGTTGAGTGGCAATCTGCTGGCATTGCGGATATCATCTGTCGGGTTTTTCCTACATCACGGTGAATTTATGTCAGAACAATATTTAACACATAAAAGCAAGGCGACTTCCTACTGTCTCCTTCAGATTTATTTAATCCCATACCACATCCTCACAAACAATGCGTTTCTCCTGTGTCCTCGCCGTTGTTGCTGCTTTGACAGCATTGATATCTGCCAGTGACGCTGACAGTGAGAAATGTCCTGTCTTTTGCCACCGTATCAGCGATTGCGCAACCTGCCCCTGGGATACATATGCATGCGTGAGTATGAGTAGTTTGCGTCTTGGATTTAACCACATCACTCACCGGCGTGGTAGGCCATCTTTATATGCTACGACTGAGTGAGTAGTAGTTTGTTGCTGAGTTTATTTCTTACGAATGGAGAGGCTCGGACTAGGAACGGGAAAGGGACTCAGCCTTGGGTCGAAAGACTAGTTTGACTGCAGATCATACCTAGGAATGGGAAAGGATCAATAAAACGTAGAACCGTGATTAAGAGAGCTCATCTCAGTCTTAGATCAAAAGACTGAGGGAATTTATTGGAGAGGGAGAAGCATTAAAGCCGTGAGCACTGATTGAGACGGAGAATCTAAAGGTGAACATGTATGAGGCGTGTAACGAGGAGCGATTGCGTGTGTAGAAGAAAGGGATGAGTACGTACTAATTTCGATATGATCAACGTTGTGATAGTTGCCTTGATCGAGTGGCAAATTTGGCACCGATCACAATCGTCGACGAAGAGTCCAGACCTGCAATCGACAGGAGCTTTAGTTTAGACATGGTATAGCGTCAGTCCCATGCGTTCAAAGAATCCGACGTAGCCCGTCGAATACCTGGCCATTCCACTAGTTATTGGGAAAAACTGGCAGGCGTTGATTGCAATGAGCTGTTTTGGTTTGCCTGTCCCATTAGCAACATCACCGCATAAAACTTCAGAAGTATTAGTGCAACGGTGGCCACTGAGAGTTTGGATGGGTAAGTAGCCCTGCTGGTGAATATTGAAATCACCTATTGATGCTTGCCAGTTCCGAACATATGAAGAGTGACCGTATTAGACATTAAAAATCATTCGAGCGATATTTGAATAATATTTCAAGGTGCGTCACAGCCGCGGTGTGAATTCAGCAATAGTAGCAAACAACTTGAACCGCTTCGGATGAATATGAGTTTCGGAATTGCCAAGGCTTGCCCAACGCTGGCCGTAGTGCAGTACTGGTCTCTACAGGCAGAACTAACTTCCAGATGAATATTTGGCGTTCGTAAACTTTTGGGAGGCGATACCAGCTCGTCTCAAACGCCGCTGCCGTCACCTGAAACTGAACGCCTCCCCCGTCTGTCCCTTCAGCCAGACCCTCTCAGCCAGCATCACCCTCTTCCGAAGTTTCTTCTATAACAACAACGCAGGGATTTCTCATAAGGAAGAACAAGCAGCAATCATCCTTGGCATCTGTCACAGACGCTGGGAGTGGGAACGGAAACGACGTCACTGGTCCTGAACGCTCTGCACACAAACTAGTTCCAAACAACACACCACTAATCCTAGATCCAGTTCCAGGTCCCGGAATCCCACCTCTACGTCCAAGAACGCCTACCGCCTCGAAATAGAAACGCACTTCGGGTTGCTCAATGTAAGGGATGGCTTGCTTATTGGTCAACCCCCCAGGTTGAAAAGGAGGGATGTTAAGATTTGGCTATGGGAGACTAACACAAAGCTGCCATGGACTGGTTACGAGTCTATTCTGGATTTCGGTGCTGTATTTTTGCATGGCGAGAACATTCAAAAATGCCCTTACTAAAATGTAACAACATCTCAAACGATCAGACCCTTGTAGTGCTAGTACTTCTCATCCGTTTTTTTTTAACATCGTAATGACACGTTGCTTGCAGGTTTGCATCAAACCTGTCTCGATGATTTAGCTTGCTGTGCGTTGCGCCCTCAAAAAGGCTCCTACATCTCCGCCTGTGACTTGAATCATATGTAATCGGCGTTTATGCGAATCTGTGATGACGACATGCTGCAAGTAAATTTCCACACTTTTGAGGTCGCGTTGTGTAATGGTGAGCTCGGTGCTTCGTGCCTCCCGCGTAGCGTGTCAATAAAAGCTAAGTGCCGCATTACCAGACAGTACCTGTGGTCTTGTGAACTTGCGAAATGAGCTGCGTCTGGCATCTGCCTTGCGGCACATTAGGGCCACAGAAATGCCACCCGGCCGGATGCTTCGATACTAGTTGTCATACTAAGTTGCACAATTCAGAGACACGCCTATCGTGTCCATCGCATGTCAATCATCATCGCCAAACAACCACCGTGCAGGGTTCCAGCAAAATTAAGCATGTATGAGAGCATCCCATGTGTCAATGAGCACAGCGAATGAGAAATAAAAAGCACCTTCGTCCACAGTCGCCTCGAAGATGGCACGTCCTTCGAGTTTCTTGGGCTCCTCTGCCTTTGGCAATACAGATACCTCTGTTAGTTGCAGCCGTGATGTGAACTCGGATTCGAAACCTCTGAAGGGCTTACCAATCGGACGCGAGACGTGGCTGGTCTTCATCGATTGCAAAGAGCTGAGCAATGCATGTTTTACCGCCGAAGAAGCATTCCCTTCCACTTGGGAGGTGTCGATACTATCGCTTTGTGGCTTCATCTGGGGGGACAAGGCCAAGTCACAGTTTCTTTGTCGATTTTATCTGCTGAAACTTCAAGCCAGTATGAATGTCAAAACCCTAGTGTTATGTATATCAGCTAAATGTTTACTCGGGATAAGGGCGAGCTGCTTCGTCCGCGGGAACCTTGTTCACCAGTCCTCGGAGCATCCAGTAGTAGTAACTTGTGTCGACACACAGGTGGTAAATCAAGGGCAGTGCTTTCATCTGATAGAAGACGTGAGGTTTCGAGTTAGTTTACATGTCACTAATACAAAGATGCGAGGGATGTATCGATGGAATCTGCTACAGGTCAATCTCAATAGAACAACATACGACGAGCGATAAAAGGCAAAGACAAAAATTTACGACACCAGTTCAGAAGCAGCCGCACAACTGACCACTTCCATGCTCTCCGGTGCTATTCCCCCCTGTCGTTAGCGGTTGTGAATTTGGGTTCGGTGAAGGAGGAGGAACATAGTCTTCATCGCGTATCAAGCCATCGTCGATATTGCTGGGATCATCTGCTGCAGCATGACGCTGAAAATGAGTGGATGAGACCTCGAATGCGGCTAGAAATCAATTGAGCGTACCAAGTCACCCCACGCGAAAGGAACATTGACATTAGGCGGCGATGTATGACCTGCGCGAACGGGCCACCAGGTTGATAGGTGGTTTAGGCGTGCTGTGAAGGTGACAAGAGCGGTAGCCAAGGATTGGCTTGGTCGGCCGGTGGACAGCGGTGGCATAGATCGTGACTGAAAAAGGTAAGTCAAAAAGCCATTACGGTAGTCGATACTCACGTTCTGGCGGGGATCTGTGTGTGAAGGCCCCTGAGCCATGACCTGCACCGAGGGAGAGAGATTGCGAGGTAGGGGCAATGTCACAGGAAACTGGAAGAGGATGATCGAATGAGCCGCGAAGGAAACAGGTACAAAAGACATACATCTAGAAAATCACGGGGCTGATCAACATTCGTGCGAGAAGGAAGGAGGTTGCGGAAGTAGCGAAAGAATCCATGTTGTTGTAGGTCTCTTGTAGGAGGAGGTCTGGGAGGACGAGATATGACACGCGGTATCGCTGGGTTATGGCGCACGGCACGACGCGTTGCGTCAGACTGCAATAATGTCATTGATGGAGTGGAATAGTAAAAGAATAGGGACGCGCACATTGAGTAGATCGGGAATTTTGGATGCACTTGTCTGCAAGAGAATGTTCTAAGCACGCAGCCGGATAGATATATGGGAGGCAATGCATACACTGGGCTTTTCTTGTGCTGTGGGCCGGATTCTAGCAAGGATGTCGAGTGGAATGTCATATATGTAGATCTTGGTATCATCGAAGATGGTGTAAGCCAGTTGATGTGAATTGGGTGAGAAGATAAGATTGCAGAGACACTGGTCGTCAAATGAGGCGAGTAGCTGGCGAGACTGGAAGGCCCAGAGCTTGATGGTGTTGTCGTGGGCAGTGCTAGCGAGGAGAGCACAATCAAATGAAAGTGCTAGACCGGCGATATACCAAGTGTGCCCTTTGAAGGGAGCTCCGACAATCTCCAGTGTCGACGCATCGAACTCATAGATCGTATCGGGCTCATCCCAGTATTCTAAATTGTGGTGCTCGAACTTCTTGAAGCTAAACGCAGCTACGATGGTTTTGTCTTGCGTTGTCCAGAACACTGGCGGATATGCCATAATGATGCCGTAAGAGGAATTCCCAACCGAGACAACTAGTTTCTGTGTTTGGACGTCCCACACCTCAAGGCGCTTCCCTATATTTGACAGGACCGCAAGCTTCTTCGAGTCTCGCGAGAATCGAACTCTGCCCTGTAAATAATCCATCTTGAATGGACCAGCCACGAGTTTGCCCGTGTCCAAACTCCATATCTGCGTTGTACTTCCGCCATTCCATTTGTGGTCTGTCGACCCGCCCGCGAGCAGCGTGCTGTCTGGGGAGATATGGATGAAACTGATCGACCGTGACTTTGAGTCAGATTGAAATATTCTCACGACGCCTGTCTCAACATCACAGACTTTGACCTTCCTTCCCTCGGTATCGTTATCTCCACCAACAGTGACAACCCATCGATCATCCCTTGATACCTCCAACATATCTATACTCTGCTCACAAACATCCCGCACCTCCACAATCTCCTTTCCCTCCCACAAATCCCATCGCCGAATGGTCTTGTCCAAACCTCCGCTGATCATTTGTTTGCCGTCCGGAAAGTAGGAGATAAGTTTAACTTGGTGGTATATGTCTCGCTCGCCATTCGGAAGGTTGAAATTGATTCGTTCATGACCCTCCAAAGTCATGACTGGTGTCAGAATTGATTTATTTGCTGCTACAACGGGCTGCATCGAGCCGGAAGCCATGGCCCACCACCGATGATGGAAGGTTTCCCAGCTATTTGGATGTGTTCAAAGGTCGGCGGTGCGCTCTCCTCGTATGCTATACGCCTGACGTTGAGTGATTTTCAAGCTCAACTCGTTCAAGAGATTCCGCACCGTTGCCTGCTGAAGCAGATTGAGAGTTCAAATCCGTACACGATGCTCAGATGGGGTTTCAACTTACCAGGAGGCCAGCAAGAAAGTAGAGCGATCGCTGGATGGCATTGCACAGCAAGTCCTTTTTATTCTTCTGCCTTCCCGTTCCCAGCTGATTAGTCACATCATTCCTGTGTAGGAGCGCCCCAACTCAGCCACTAACAAGCGCCAGTTCCGACGGCGCTATCTTCTCTTCCACTGGAACCCAGAATCATAGGAGGAAGAACTCGAGCATCCATTCATCTCTGACACTTCCCCCGGCAGATTTACCATCCCTTGTACCCGGCGATGGGGAACAAATAGCCAAAGTTGATAAGATGACCTTTTCTGTTACCTCACTCTCTCCCGCTGTTTCTCCCGCGTCTACCGGTCATGAACGCAGTGCATCTCAATCTCGGTCCGCTCCCGTATCTCCTATGCTCAACATATTTGCACCTGTTCCTGTTGTTCCGGTCGAACTTTCCTTCATACAATTACCTGCTTCTCCTGAACCCACCGCCCACGCTACTCTCACGCCTGCGATTCGCGAGATTCGCCAAGTTCCTAACGCTGTTTACGCCCCCACCCCACGTGTAGTCAGCACACCACCAATGTCCAAGCACAACAGTGTTGCATCCAGCGGACAAGCTTCAACCACTTCCATGCCGCTGACATTATCCGAACCCACTCGAGACAGTAGGAGTCCAATGAAGTCTGTTCCACCATCGGAGTGGAGCGTCGAAGAAGTCATTGACTGGCTGAAGTCCAAGGGCTTTGGCCAGGACGTCTGCGATAAGTTCACAGGTACATTTCTTCCTTTCCCATTGTGCAACTAGAACTAATGTTGTACCCCCCATAGAACAAGAGATTACCGGCGATGTCCCGTTCGAACTCGACCTTAACCTCCTCCAGACCGAAATCGGGATCGTCGCATTTGGAAAGCGTATGCGCATTGCCAATGCTATCGCCGAACTACGACGTCTTCCATCGATCATCTTATCCGACGCTCAGTCGTCCCAACATGCCCAGTCCTTAAAGCACTCTCATTCTTACTCCTCACATTCGCGTTCTGGCTCGACGCATCAGTCGCTGAACAGCCCCATGTTCGCGACCACCATGAGTTCAGCTATCGCTGCGCCGAACTCAGCGCCGATAGTCCAGCTGCAGACGCGAGCCACTTCATAGAAAGAGTGTCTAGTCTGTCGAGCGCTGGTTTCAGTATCAACGGAGGCTCGACAGAAAATAATGTGGGACTTGGCCTCGGGGTCCCGGTGAATGGTAACGAACACAAAGTTGGTGTTTCGTCTGCTACTGTTGGTTCCATCACTTACCCATTGTTTAGCGTACTGGGTCAGGTCACCTTGTACCTTCGCCTAGTGATGGTGCTCTGAACAAACGTTCTCAAGACGATGTGTGCCAGCTCGTAGAGTCGCCGGACGATGATCGCGGCGCACTGAGCGAGGTGATTTCATATCTTCTTTTCGTGTGTAGCATCAGTTGAACCTTGTCTACAGGGAGAAAATGGAACCTCTGCGGCCAAGCAACGCCGGCGCCTCTTTGGTCGCTCCATGGAGTCATCATCTACCGCGAAGGAGAAGGGCGAGACTTCTTCCAACAATAATTCTACCACTGCACTACCGACTCCTTCGTCCTTAGCGGTGGCGTCACCCAGATCACGGAAGCGGGACCTGGTGGACGACTCCAGCATTACGAGCAAGCATAATCGGAACAAACGGGACAGTGCGACGAAAGGAACGGAAAGGCATAGTTTGTTCGGAGACACCTTTACTACTTCCTTAGGGAAGTAGGATTACCGCGTACGCGTCGTGCTTTGGTATCGTTTGCTCAATCGCTCACTCTGAAACAGGTCATTGATGGATAACAACAGTCCAATGGAGAAAACTTCAAGTCTCAATCTGGCCCGGTTGTACGGCAGCAAGAAGTCCTCAGGTCGCCCATCAACGACTTAATTGTGAAGGCGTACGCTGATGCATATTGCTCAGGAGGTGAAAATTAAGGGCTACATCAATATTGTCGGATACAAGGTGGTCGCGGATGAGAATGTTGATCCAGGACGTTATGGCTTCAGAATAGTACACGATACAGATAAGGCACATTTTTTCTGCTCTGACGAGCAAATCGTGGTACGCGAACGGATGAAAGCCACCATGAAAGCCACCATTGGCAGAGACTATTCGAGTAAGTCTGAGCCGTTATCTTTGGTCACTCGCCTAACAAACTATTGAACAAAACCTGTTGTTTCTTCTGTCAACATTCCCACCATATCTCTAACAGTCGCCCAAGCGATGAACCCTGCCCCTCGACCGCCATCTCCTTCTGCTCGTGATGCGACACAAAAGGCTTTGCGCCGCGAGAATCCAAATCAATTGTCTTCTCGTGATACTTGAGTCCTGATGGGTATACTATCGCCAGATGCCAGCGATGCACAAGATAGCGAACGGACGCGTCTCGATTCGATTTTTACTCAGCAACCTGGATCAGGCCAGTCCGACGACGAGCCCAAAGCAGCATCTATGACGAACGAAGCTCCTCCCCGCCCCACCCATACAGCAACTGGACTCATCTGACGCGGGTCTGATTGAATGGCTAATTCACACTTACCAGCGGCGTTGCAAAATTTCGATCCCACTGGACGTCTTTATAGCGATCTTGCGCTTCTTCTCCTCGCGGAAACAGTTGTAGGGAAATCACCGTCACCACTCGTGCCAGATTCAGCGTTCCCTTCTGGCCCCAAAGACGACAAGTTGGATGGGCTATTCCGCCTATTTGACTTCCTCCTCGACAACGACGTAAAAATGGGTACCGTGAGCATCAGCGACGTCCGACAAGGGGAACGCGATAAGATATTACAGCTTCTCAAAGCACTCAAGGCATGGGAGGACAGGCGGATAGAAATATTGAAATCTATTGGTGCGGGAACAGTCCAGGCCGGTTCATTCATGGCCCCGATATAAAAACTTGGAAGAAGTGATTTCATTTGGGCTGTATATCATTCGAGATCGCGGACTCGATCTTCAACCTTCATTTGCGCTACATGTATCATGATAACCGTCGTTTGGGTTTGGGTTGATACCCCTCGAATATCACATTTACACGAACAACTACATTACATGATACAGATCAGATCAACTTTCCAAGTGTATGATGAGGAGTGCGGTACGTATAAGTCGTCAATCAGCATAGCGGCTATGTAGGTCAGAGTTTAACAGATTTAGATGCATTTAGTTCAGATGGAACCATGTTGATACGTACAGCTGATGCGACTGGTCGATGTCGCGTAACATTCCATACCTTTCAAGTCAGACATAATAATTATAAGCTGCTGAAGCAAATATGGAGCTTTAAGGGCCAGAATCTTACCTCACAACGAGTTGAGAGTGCCCGGCTACCAAGGGTAAGTGTCGTGTTCACAATGTGTAGCTTGTCGCCCCTGACACGATGGTTCAGTAGAAAGCAATTAGTGTGCTATCTGAACGTACGTCAATGCTGGTGAATGATAGACGATATTTAAAGACTGTGATACGCCGAATACACCACGACCGCTTGTCGAGGCTCCAAGGACGTAAATGGGCGATGTCGAGCAGCTGCATATCCGTATTAGTTCCAGCCAAAAATGAGTAGAAGAAACATGCCATCATGTCTCTATAATGTGCTACCGAAATCAATGATGCAGCCTCTTGTGAACCGTGACTTCGTTCTTACACGTTAGGAAATATTGGCGAGGTATGCAATCTCCGAAATATCACTGGCAGCATGTAATTCCTTCGCCATAGGCTGCGGGATGCTACACATGCAGCCGTCAGATTGTCTCAAGAACACTTTGATCACGAGGTAGAGGGACACACGAAATTGATCATATGCCAATATGCATGAACACGATGCGCTGATCCAAGGGCACGGTTTTATCACCAGCCAATGAATGGACTGCTTTTGTGCAACGCTCGGGCAGCTCGTTTTGAATTCATTTTGCCATCCCCGCAAAAAAATCTTGTAGAATTCCGCGACCAAGCAGTGCACAGCCCTGTCGTTGACATTCCAAAATGTCCCAATGGCACTTTTCACCCTAGAAAACTGTAGGCCAGCCGCCAAGTGAATGACTTCGTCGGGAGTGTCGGCGACACCCACTGCGGTCTGAGAACCTGGAAGAAATACAAAAGATCTATGGCGCTGGATCCGTTCAACTATTCTTCACACGCAAAACTCACACACGCACAGACGTCACACACACACAAACGAGACGCACACACATAATCACTCCGTCGCATACACACTCTCGTACTACCGTAGAAAAATTAGTACTGCACTATGATCATTCATAAAATTCATTGATGCCCCAAGGTATCCAACTCTGCACGTGTCAACATTGGGCCAGGCTCCGTGATCAGAGCTGCCGACAACTGCTGAGCCGTCTCCTCAATGAGATCAAAGGCTAGATGGAATGCCGCTCCTTTCTTCACTGTTTGAAGCAGGGTCTTCCAGCACTCTGGATTCACCCTTCCGATTTCGAACCCAAGCTCCTGGAAGCGCTCGACAGCGTCACGGAAATCTTGAGGACTTGCGTCCATCAACGAGAAAACGGGCCATCGAGTTCCACCACAGTTGCCGCCAGTCAATGGAACATGTGGTGTTGTCAGTGCAGTATTGTGAGTGCTCGATAATGGGCGGCTCCTCGCAGGCGACAATGCGGCAGTGCTCGTTGAGAAGCTCCTTTAAATCTACAAAGGCGTTCCATACTTCAAACCCAAGTCTCTTTCGCACTGGTCCTGGAATATCGCGGACGCGAAATTCAATGAGACGGCGAAAAGCGGGAACAAAGAACTTTTGAATTGAAAATTCAAGACAGAGTGCCAGAAGTTCATATGGTTTGTGTTGAAATCGATGTTCTTGAAGGTGATTAATGGCGACATCGCGAGCTTTTTGACTCATGAACTTGTTGCTGAACTGAAGAAGGTCGATAACATCATCATGAGTGGGACCCTCGGGTTTCCAACTGTACGGTAATCCCACATTTAGAATAAAGGCGGAAGCTTGAAAACTTGTCTCACCTGCTGTATGCAACTGAGAGGAACAGTTCGAACATATTCATGCTGAGTTCGGGGATGACAATTGGATAGTCGTCACTCGAGCCTTCCATGCCTTCCATTGGCTGAAATTGACCTCCAACAGAAAACATCTCCTCGAATGCAATGGATGAGCGTGATAATTGAGTTGCATGGACCTTGAATAGCGCATTTTCGACCTGCATTTTGACCGTTAGTATTGTCAAGGGAAACCAAGCGAACAAAACAATCTGACCAAGAAAATGTGAGTACCCTCAAGTATATAGAAATGGCGGTGTCAAAACTTGAGAAGACTTGGAGCTGACGTGCCCATTGTTGGAGCCCCAAACATGATGGTCTACTATCTGTGAGATTCTAGAATATTTTGAGGCTTGGAGTCTGAGTTGAAGCACGAAGGACGTAAATGTTGCTTACCACACCAAGTTTTTCACTTCGTCACCTCTATCTTGCCAGTAGCCGACTATGGATCTTCCAGCCCTACCAGAACGTGAACATCGATGGCCACAAAACATCTATGCTGCAGATGGTATTATCCGTAACATCTATAGCGCTGCGATTAGAATGCTTCGATCAAATGATGCGGAACCAACCAGAGTGGCGTACCATTATGATGCACTGTCCGCAGAGGCCCTACCTTTGCTTGAAGCGATCGAAAGTGATTCAAGTCCTGCCGATTACCAGCTTCTGCACGACTGGCTACTAGCATGTGCTAGGCTTGTGGGGGAGGCAGGTGCGATGCTTAAGGATGTCAGCCGAAATCTTCATGCGTAAGTACCTCACCGGCCTGAAGCTCTACTGTCTGAATGCTATCACTTTAATCTAGGGAAAATGTTGGACAGTCAAATGTTATAATCCCAGAGCTTGTGACTCTGGACCATCAGGGACGTCGAGGGCATCCGAGAAAGAACATTAACCTTGAATTTGTCCATGAAGCCCTGTCTAACAAGCGTCACATCATGCTGCCAGATCTCGCGCGACTCCTCCAAGTGTCCCGCACCACTTTGTGGAAATTTATTCGTCAACATGGTCTTGAAAAGCGCTTCACGACGATTAGCGATACTGATCTCGATCAACTTGTAAGGACTTTCAAAGAACGCAAACCGGAGTCAGGATTCCGGTACCTTGTTGGGTTCCTTCGGTACCAAGGTATTCGAGTCCAGCAGTGTCGTGTTTGGCGGTCCCTGCACAAAGTCGACAGGCTGGGACAAAGGCTGAGAGAACGACGTGTTACCAGAAGATGAAAGTACCAAGTTGCTCGACTGAATGCACTATGGCATATGGATGGTCATCACAAGGTCATTCGGTGGGGCTTTGTCATTCACGGATTCATTGACGGGTATTGTCGCACCGTAAATCCATCAATTTATGAAAGTGACAAAATAAGTGTAATAACCTTACTTTCAACAGATAACAGCACTAAGGGCCAGCACAAATAATCGCGCATCAACGGTGTTGGAGTTGTTCATGCACGCAAGGAATGAGTATGGCATGCCATCTTGTGTTCGTGGGGATCGCGGAGGGGAGAACCTTCAAGTTGCTACGCACATGGTTGCGACAAATGGCCACAATCGCGGCTCGTTCTTATGGGGATCGTAAGTGGAGCCCCCTGGAAATTTACTTGACTAACGATGCCTGATAGATCAACACGGAATTCTCGTATCGAACGATTGTGGGTTGAAGTCGGCACACAATTTGCACGCCGATGGCGGGCATTCTTTACCAGGCTTGAACGACTTCACAAACTTGATGTTGACAGGCCTGGGCATCTTTGGCTCCTTAGCGCGCTCTTCTTGAATGCACTCAACAATGATTGCTGACAGTTTCAACAAGAATGGAACTCCCATCCTATTCATGGTTCTGATACCAAGGATCAAAGCCCTCAGGTCAGTGAATACTCGGCGCCGCGGAATTATTGTCTCACAACCATGAAGGATATGCGCCTTCTAGGACAGGCGTCATTAGGCGTCTATGAAGATGAGTTTGAGGGGATACATCCTGCAATCCTGCAGCGCTATTATGGTATTCATGGCAGAGAGTTGGTCCGCGGTCGCAATCAGACAGGTGCTGGCCACCCAAATGACGAGTTGGATGAATCAGATGAAGATAGTATTATTGGCCGCATCGAGCGGGATCAAGCAAACGATGTCCAACATGACGCTGTTGAGGTCGCAGATGGTAATACTCCTTTTCAGAATGAAGAAGATGAAAATTCGTTCTTTGAAATACTTGAGGAGGTCGTCATGGATGGTATTGTACCGGAGGGATACAATTTACAGGAGGGTGAAGATGAGTATGATGAAAACACAACTGAACATCTACGAGTCGGACGACAGAGGGAGAATTATGTTGAAGTATCGTTAGCAGACCCTATCTGGAGGACTCGCTCAACATTATGGGCTCAAGCGGCTAGCGTTCTAGGTCATTTTGAAGCAGATGTATTTTTCTAATTCAATAGTACTTTACAAAATTCGAAATAGAATTAGGAACCTACCACGTACAAATTCCGCACCTCGCCGGCTTGTTTGTGTCCCGGTCCTCTCTTCCATCTCACTCGGAATGTTGAAGCAAGTTTATTGCAAGGGCAACCCTAACGAATCAGTAGCTTGCGATTGCGAAGAGTACTCCGCACCTACGAATCTTCCAGTTGGCCAAAAAGAGCTTTGTGCAGAATGTTTGCACGGCAAGAGCAAACATCCTCAACCCCAACGGCCTGCATCAGTGGCCGAGCTGTCAGTACCTCCCATACTAGATCAGACTTGGAGTACTCCACCAAGGCCTGTCACAACCGCAAAAGAACGAGTTGGAGTGACAGCTATATACAAGCAATCACTCGCTCGGAAAGCCGGACAAGACCCGGAACTCAAATTCAATGTGTCATCCAACAGTCAGAAGACGGCTACCGCGAGAGGTGAGGCGATCGCAGGATTCCGCCCACCTGTAAAATGGAAATTCACAGTGAGTAAATTTGCCTGACTTTTGTGCCTCCGAAATAATCAATGTTACCTAGGGCAGGGCAATATCCTTAAGACAGGCCAGTTCTTCGAAGCAAGGACAAATCCGGATCAAAGTTGGCGCCATTGCTGTCTTGATCAATTACCTTGATGTATGTTAGCCTAAGCACACAATAACTATGAACTTACCCAGTGACCGACAGGACAAAGGAGAGTTGACAATCACGATCCCGCCTGTCAGGACAGAGATGTCAAAGTTTAAATGACGGGGATGTGCTCACTTTGACGGAGATCAGTCTGAGAACGACAGTGTGGATTTCAGCTTTTGCCCGGACTGGACATTTGACGAGGTTGATGCTTACATTCGAAGACTTTTTCCAAAGGTCTTTGGATACCTCGACTCTGTAAAGGCAGGTGATGTAAAGGGGAAGGCCATAGATAATGGAGCATCTGAATGGGTGTTGATTTCGAAAGAGAACCGCAGGCTGAGTGTCGCACCTGACCCATTTCCGAACGGCAAACATCTTGAATGGTACAAAGGCAGAAATAATGCCCCTCTTCAACAGACAAATGTTTTTATTGGTGAGCCGTTAATAAATTCATCAGGGATGTTCTAATCAATGTATGTGCAATAGGTATCCGGACATATGTACCTGAGCATATTTATGCACGCTGGGATCCTATGGCGCTGGATCTGTTCAACTATTCTTCACATGCAAAACTCACAGACGCACAGACGCCACACACACAAACGAGACGCACACATAATCACTCCTTCGCATACACATTCTTGTATTGTAGGAAAATTAGTACTGCACTATGATCATTCGTAAAATTCATTGATGCCCCAAGGTATCCAACTCTGCACGTGTCAACATTGGGCCAGGCTCCGTGATCAGAGCTGCCGACAACTGCTGAGCCGATCTTGAAACGCCTCGCAAGGCTGCCGTGAGGTTGAAAGAGTCTAGTAGTGAGGCCTTACGAGACGAGTATGCGCACCTTGCATAATGACGAACAAATACATCCAAGCCTCAGAAGGCATCATGTGGCCGTGGGAGACTCTCCGGACCTTGCCGGACCTTGTTAGATTTTGGGCACTTTTGCTGATGGCCCTTCTCATCGACACTTACATCAAGGATCCACCCAGCGCGAACATCTTTTTGACACCAATACTGGCAGCTTTCCGTCTTCTTTTCTCGCTCTCGTCCACCAGCCGAGGCTTTGCTGCCAATGCTGGCGGCTTCGGTGCATTTTTTTGCCCTTGAACTCTACTTGATTGGCGCTTATAGAACCCTTCATTAACAGCCTTGTCTGCAATATAAGTTGATCATCACTCCGAGACTTACTCACTTCTCATCACTCCGTCTCGTCCACCGGCCAGGCCTTAAAAAGATTTGAGGCTTTGCTGCCAATGCTGGCGACTCCGAGACCTAGTCATCAGTAAACCGGTGACACTCAGATATTAGTAGATTTTGCAGTATTTTGTAAGCCCAATGCTTCTTTCCTGTATATTACGATACAAAGTAATATATAGCAATCTAAAGCAATGTAATTATGCCAATTCACGCTCGGTTCAGACTAATATATTGCTTTACATTACTTTACATATATTACTTTATATCGTTTTATAATGTCATGTATAGGAAAGACCATTTCGGCATACAAAATATGGGAATATCGGTGGCTCACCGATTTACTGATGCACTACTCACTTCTCATCGCTCCATCTCGTCTACCAGCCAGGCCTTAAAAAAGATTCGTTTATAGAACCCTTCATCAGCAGCCTTGTCTGCAATATAAATTGATTATCGAATCATGTCAGATCTAATAGTGCAGTACTAATTTTTCTACGGTACAACTCGGAGTGTGTATGCGACAGAGTGATTATGTGTGTGCGTCTCGTTTGTGTGTGTGTGGTGTCTGTGCGTGTGTGAGTTTTGCATGTGAAGAATAGTTGAACAGATCCAGCGCCATAAAGATCCATGTGGCTGATATCTCACAGGTTCGTGTCATATTGATGCATTAAACAGTACAACTGTAATGCACCAATGATGCATCATTGGTGCAATTGTACTACCTTTGCTTTTCTCACGCTGACATCAGGAAATCAACCCGAAATTGATATGACCAGATAGAATTGGTAATCAAAACACATTATCGCACATCATTTTTTTAGCCTTAGATATTTTTATCGTAGTGTCACACATAGGTGTAATAAAATAAGACTGTACCAGAGAAATATCACCTTGATGTATGTCTTGGAAGCAGACAACAGTGAGATAACTGTATGTCCACACACTGTAATTGAATGGCTGCAGGTCATCACATTTCCAGTAGATTTATAACACACTGTGACATTTTTTAAATAGTGAGATATGTCTTATCTAAATTACATAGAAACTGTAAAAACTACAGTTGTGATAGCCAGCTTGTAATTGCTTGTCTGGCCATCACCAACATGGCCAGCATTTAAAAAACTTTGGCATTTCCAGCAAACTTATAATGTGTTGTGACATTTTTTAAATCATGGGATGTCTTATCTAAACTGCGTAGAAGCTGCAAAAACTACAATTGTGATGGTCCACTTGCAATTACCTATCTGGCTATCACCAACATGGCCTCTATGGACCAATGGTGCTAGTAGCATGTAGTATCAGCATGGGTGGATTTATCAAAATCTCACTCAGCAGTATGTAATAATAACTATAGATTTCAAAACTGCAAGGTACAGTTTTCGGGACAAGCAGCACTAATAACCAATGTTACATAAAATTGGAGTAAGTTACACATTCACAGCATCTCAGAATTTTGCAAGTCCGAAAAAGAAGATTTGATATTGCGGTAGAACTTATAATGATGAGGATGCTATTTTAGTTCTCATATGAGGCAAACAGTGAATTCAAATGCTGTAGGAAACAATGTATGTTATCTTATACACTAAAACTGGCTCGAAGGAAACAGGTGGGAGCAACTTGTTGGATGTATAAGCGAAGATAGTAGGGTGCAGGAGGGGGAAGTTAAGTTAAGCAATATGGGGAAGCTTGTGGTCACAGGTGATTTGAGTTGGAAGATGATAGGGGGTACATTTGAGTTGGAGGCAGATGCGGGTTGAAGACAACAGGTGGTACCTTGGAACAGGCAAGTGGACATGACTGATACAAGTGGGACATGCATCTGCCTGTCAAAAGCGCTGTCACTGGGAAGATGGTAATCAGTAAATAAAGTGATGAAAAAGGCAGCAAGAATAACATAAACCAAACCAAGGCTGACATACAACAGGAAAAACTTAAACCATAAGTGAAAGTTATGACCAAACTCTGACTTTGGAAAGGAAACGGCTACTGGTACAAACACCCATATAAGTCTCACAGAAATGCAGAGACATTGGAAGATAGGGATGAGGTCAAGTTCCAACCATCAAACCAATCATCGTCAAGTGGAGGTGATTCGATTGTCGTAGCACTTGCAGAAGACGCGCCTTCTGACAAGCCCACAGCAATGTTAATATGAGAAAACTTGAAGCAAAATTTTCATGCCCACCAACAGTGCATGCTATAGCTTCAGCAAACATGTCCACTTTGGACTGTGCGCGTTGCTTCTTCAAGTACATAACATGGAAGTCATACTTGAGTTTGTCCAGTGTTTTACTCTCTGCTTTGAAGTGGTTGCTGTCGTTGTTGCTGGTGCCGGTGCATAGGGGCTTGTTGATTTCCACAAAGCATGCGCTCGCATATGCATGACATGCCACATCATCAACGTGGGCTTTCAAGTAACCAGGTAGGTGAAGAATTGGATCGCTAGGCTGTGCAATGTCAGAACACCAGGTCCCTCATAGTATTAGTAACACTCACCTTTAAGAGGTTTTCATGGAGGCGAGAAATGTTTAGATGTTGTGGGGCATGTCGGAAATTTCCTAATTGGGTTTCGTTGCCTTGTAACGTGTTGCAATGAATCAATGACAAGCTGAAGTCCCAATAGGTTGCAATAAAAGAGTGTGACATTACATTTGTGTTACAATTCATGTTACAATATTGAGTTTGTGTCACAATTGTGCCTTCAATTAGGGTTTCAACCAAATCAGAAATATTGACTGTCAGCTGCAACTGTCCAAGCTGATTTTGCGGTACCTTGGAATCTAGATCCCAAGGCTTATCCGAATAATCTAACTGGGTCTCAAGAACATTGGAACGCAAACAGGCACATTTCAATTCAATTCAAATATCATTGAGAGCAATTGTAACTAGCACCCATCCTCAACAAAACATATCAAATAATACAGTAATAGTGGTCTGTAGGTGGTGGTTGTACTACTTTTTCCGGGATCACTTTGGTCGGCTGGCCTGCTGGCCCACTAGACACAGGCGCCAGCATCCCCGCCTGCCTTCCTCGACCCCGATGGCCAGTGGATGGAGCTGCCGCCACTGCTGGTAGAATCTCTATGTCATTGGGTAATACTTCAGCAGCTGCTGGAGGGAATTCAAAGGCCGCAGTGACTGTAACAGCAGCTGCACCCTGGACCACACCTGCAGATGCCACAGTTGGGGTCGGTTGAGCAGGCAGGAGGATTGTAGGATTGGGATCTGGGGCGGTGGTAGTTTTTGCAGGGCCAAGCACTGGGATGGCCGGTGCAGCAGGAACAATGACCAGTACTGCAGGTCCAGGAGTGAGGGCTGACACAGATGCTGCCGGAATGACTATGGGTGAAATGGGAGTGACTGGTCGAGGAATATCAGAGGTGTTGTCGATAGTCGGTCCAGGAAAGTCAGATTCCTTGCACCCTGCATTTGTGATGGCCAAACACATCAGATCAGAGGTAAAATCTTCACCTTCAGTGTCAGATGTCGCAACATTGGAAGTCGAAGATGATTGCCACATGTAGGCATCGATCTTTTTGCAGATCAAGTAAATGTGAGGTTGATCCCAAAGGGTGACCCACAGCTGCTTGTAGGCCGTAAACATGGCAGCATATGGTAGCCGAGACTTTGCGCCAACTCCAGCTTTCGTGAATGAAGCATCAGGAGAAAGGATGAATATCAACTAAAGAATAATAGTCAGATGCTGGTTCAGACGATCGATCATAGCAGAAATAGAACTCACTGTGACCCAACCCCATGCAAGAAGACTGGGAGTACAGGACATTGTGCCCCATTTTCAAGCATTGCACTTAGCATGCGGCCACCCAGAAATGTCTAGTGAATTCTTTCCGAACATCATGATCCTAATTGCCTATGTAGATCGATTAGCATGAGAATAGATCCTTCAGAGAGTGAAAAAAATTACCTTTGCGAGCAGTTCCCAATTACTAAAAACCGTGGACATTGTGGGGTCCATCTCTCGAATTTGTAAAAAGGATGGGCGGAAATTTTGACGGAGAGGAGCGAGCACCAGTGGTACCTGGTCCGAAGCTGTTGAAAGTAAACTCGCCAATGTTTGTTTTTGTCTGTTATTATCTTGAATTCCTTTCGTCTACTATATTACTTCACTGTCTACGTTTGTTTATACCTCAGCGGTTCTTTCACCAATGCTGAGGTATGTATCTCTACTGTTTGCATGCTCACTTTCTCTTATGATTAATTGTCTCTAGACTCGTCTATTAGTTTCACCTTTCAACAGGTTATGAGCCCTGACTCAAATTGAGTCAAGAACTGAAACTTAGAAAGTCGTTATCCCCTCTTGTTGTATCATCCCGCCACTCATATTAAATCGCCAGTCCTCTGTTGACTTCGTCATGGGGAAATACGATCATATCCCTGAGTTGCTGGGGTCAGAAAATTATGTTGGTTGGTCCACCAAAATGCAGTACGCGCTCGCAGTGCAAAGACCTGTGGTGTCACGTCAACACCAAGTCTGATCCCTCTGATCTTCTCGGTCAACCTTTTCATATGCCTACTGCCACTGATCCACTCAAAGTCACCACCGCTGAAAAGGTGTCGATGCACTCGTGGTTATTGGATGACATGAAGGCCAAGGACCTCATCACTCGCCGACTTAGTACAAGCATCAATGTGCTCGTATCACGCTCTCACACTGTCACCACACGAAAGGCCTGGGACATGCTCAAAGAGCACTATAATCGCAATGATATCAGCTCCCAGTACCAGATCCATCAGCAGTTGCAAGTGCTGCGCATGAAGGACTCTGCGGACACATCCAACTTTGTCGGACAGCATGCTGCCCTGCGAGAACGACTAGTGGACTCAGGCGCACCTTATGGTGATGCAGACGTGATATTTAACCTACTCATGGGTCTTCCCTCCACGCCAGTATGGCAACAATACAAATCACAACTCGAACAATGCATGTATGACGACTTAACCACGGTGTCATCTACATCAACCCTTCCTACATTCACCTTTGAAACCTGCATGTCGCGTATCACAGCAGAAGCTGCGCGCCGCATCAATGTGCAACTGATACAATCCGCACGCCCTGGGTCTGAGTATGCCAATGCCATCACTGGGTCATCTTCCACTGTACCTATCAGCACCAATCCCATCACCAGCTTATGCAAACACAAGCACAACCCACAAGGTGTTTTCTGCACCACGGCGGGCTGTAACAAAGGCGATCATGATCATGTGCACTGTTATAAGAAGGGCGGGGGTATGGAGGGTCAAGCGCCCTGGCAAAAGAAAAAGAGTGAAACAGAGACGGCAGCAGCGGCTGTTACGACACCTGCACCCGCTGTCATGCCTCCCACTCCCTCACCTCATGTCGCTGCTGTGGCTGCCTCTCTCACCAGTCTCTATGAGGACATTTCATTCATGTCCATTACTGAGCTTCCCACCCATGAGGTCGCGTGCGCTCTTCCTCTCCCTTTTGACGTCATCCTTGACTTGGGAACGACAGTCATGCTCGTCAAGGATCACAGTCTCTTCCACACCTACTCCACAGAAGATCCTATCAGTGTCAAGACTGCCAATCATGGAATCCTTCAGACTGTGGGACAGCGGTACCTGTGTAGCATGGCTTACGATCGGGGGGCGACAGATACGTCCAATTGTCTTCATGCTCCAGATGCACTACTCAACCTCATCTCCGTCAGTAACATGAACATGAAGGGATGGGACATCAACTTCCGCGCGAACATGACATGCAAACTTACCTATTGCAACGTCTTACTGGGTGCTATCCCCGCTACAGGCAAACTTTATGCACCTGACCTTGAGTTTATCCACTTCGCACAGCCCACTCCTTCCCTCCCCAACGCACCGGAAATTGCGGTGTTCATGCACGTACCACTCACCCTGGACCTCTGGCACGCTTGAGTCGGACACATTGGCAGGTCCACTGTCACACGGCTCACACAAGTGGCTAAAGGAGTGACTGTCAACTCTTCCGCGCCTCTATCTCACTGTGAATCATGTATACTTGCCAAGCATCCTCATCAGCCCTTTCACTCCTCCAAGACCGGACGTGCTGCCCATTTTCTTGATCTCATTCACTCAGATCTATGCGGCCCCATCCCTGTCGTCTCTGCGCACGGGAAGTGCTATTTCATAGTATTTCTCGACGATCACACCCATGTCCTCAACCTTCAACTCCTTGCTTCGAAGGATCAGGCACTTGACATGTGGTGGGTCATTCGTGCACGGTGGGAGAACATGTCTGGTTTGTGGGTCAAAATCTTTCGTTCTGACAATGGGGGAGAATTCATGAGTAACACATTTAGTGAGGCTCTCGAAGAAGCAGGCATAGAATGCCAATGCTCAGTACCCCAAGCTCATCAACAAAACGGAAAGGCTGAGCGTGTCATGCGCACGATTGAAGGATGGATGTATGCTATGCTCGATCACACGCGTCTTCCTTGGAACCTGTGGGGCGAAGCCGCACTTACTGCGGGCTATCTCTTCAATAGAACAGAATCCAGAGCCCTACCTCCCGGGAAAACACCCTATGAGATGCTACATAATGTCAAGCCCACCCTTGCTCATCTCAGAGTCTTTGGTGCGAGGTGCTTTGCTCGCATTCCTCCAGAAATGCAGGAGAAACTCGGCCCTTGATTGCGTGAAGCTCTGTTCATGGGGTGTCCCCCAGGTGTTAAAGGCTGGTGCTGTCAGGATGTTGTTACCGGTGCCTTCTTCAATTCCCGTGATGTCATTTTTGACGAGAACTTCACTCACCGACCCTTCCCCGACAGTGATGATGATGATGATGATGTTGCTGCTGTCCCAGCACCCGGTCCTCCTGTCATTGTGCCCATCACACGCATTCCTCCCCATTCTGACATTATCCAACATTCTGGCCGCATCCCGGTTCACACTGAGAAGGGGTCTCTCTTTCAAGCCTGAATCGCCACCGACAAACAAAGGTTAGATCGTCAACGCGTCATTCGCGTCGCACGCATCCAAGAAATAGTTCCTCCCCCCTCATCGTCCGAGGAGGCCTTACCTCCCAACCTCCCAATCCACCCCACAATCTTACCTGGCCCACCAGTATCTGGACCTGCCGATCCTGACACCATTGTCGAAGATGATGAGGAGGTGGGGTATCCTCGTGTGCTTGCTAACCTTATCATTGTCAAATTCACATGCCTCTCAGTTTGCAGCGATGTTCGCCGCAACCCTCTTGCACGCGATTACAATCTAAAGGTCCCTCCTGCCACCTATGATGAGGCAATTCGGCATCCTGACTGTGATAATTGGATGGCTGCAATGCGAAAAGAGATGAATCTCATGTCAGAAATGAACGTCTACGAGCTAGTGCCCTTACCTGCCGATCACCGCGCTATCGGGAGCCGCTGCATCAGGAAAATGTGGTAAGGCTATATAGCCACCCATAGCGCTATAGCTCGTATAGCCAAGTGCCCAATTGTGCAGGCTTACTACACCAGTGTATAGTGCTATATAGCTCTATTAAAGTTGCTATAGCTGGGTGGAACATACCACAACTATTGTAGCTATTATAGCTCAAAACACAAAGCAAAAATTTCTCTTAATAGCTGTTCGTTGCCATGATAGTGTTCTCAAAATTAAAAAAAAGCGAAAATTCCAAATTATATTTCAACTACTACAATACATGTAAACTAATAACTACAAAACAGGCAAAAATGCGAAAATTACAGGAGGAAGAGGCAAGAGAACTAGAAGGAAGAATCAGAGAGGAAAGATGAATACAAAAAAAAGAAAGACTTACCAAATAGTGAAAATTGCGAAAATTCTTGAGGGAAGAGGAGGGAAGGGAGCTAGAAGGAGAGGATCAGACAGGAGGAAGTGAGAGTCAGAGAAAAGACTTGCCAAATGGTCAAAAATGCGAAAATAGTTGGGGGGAGGAGGAGCAGGAGGGAAGAGAGCTAGAAGGAGAGGGTTAGAAAAAAGATTAGTCAAATAGTCAAAAATGCGAAAATTATGGAGGGAGACTTACCAGAGTTCAAAGCACCAGCACCAGTACCAGCACCAACAACATCAACACCAAGAGAAGGATAGAGAAGCAAGAAGAAGAGAAGAGAGGCAAAAACTCGAAAATTGTAAGAAAAATATGGAAGATAATCTAATGAGGGGGCAGTGGGGGGGGAAGGAAAGAATGGGAAAAGACTTGTTGGTTGACCGCATTTTTGCTTACATAAGCAGTGCCAAACAAAGCCACAACACAAGACTTGGTGAATTTTCGAGTTTTTGGTTAATAGGACTAGGATTATGACAGTAAGAAAAAGACAATGAAATTGACTGTTAGCATTAGGATTTTGAATACACATAAGGTGAATTTTCGCATTTTTGCTTACATAAATAAGGTGTACCTTAACACTTTTGAACCCTTCAATTCCAAGTATTTTCCTTATAACTCACTAAGATCTTGACCTATTGAAGTCATTAGACTATGGATAGACTTCCCTTGACAAGGACTACAACTTTGATTTAATCAAAAAAAGTTCCCATGGTCAAGTTGCTTTCTTGAACCCTTCAATTTCGAGTATTTTCCTTATAACTCACTAGGATCTTAACCTATTGAAGTCATAAGACTATGGATAGACTTCCCTAGACAAGGACTACAACTTTGGTTTTCATCGAAAAAAGTTCCCACGGTCTACTGGGGTCTATAGTTGTTGAAATGTTTTACTTCTAAATACACTTACCAAACTTTATGGTAATATATAGACTTTCATGATGTCTATACTGGTCTATAGTGCTGTGATAGCTTGCCATAGACTGTATAGAGCTGTGGTGTGCTATCGGGGCTATATAGAGGATGGTCCTCTATATAGAGATATAGTTTTTCCTGATGTGGGTTCTTGAGTTTAAGGAAGACCTCAAAGGCGGTCCAGTGTTCAAAGCACAATTAGTTGCTCAAGGGTTCTCTCAAATCCCCGGTATCGACTTCGGCAAGACATTCACACCAGTAGCTAAGTCTGCATCCATTCGCATCCTTGCTGCGCACGCAGCCGCACATGACTGGGAGCTGGATTGTTTTGATGCGAAGCGTGCTTTCCTGTGGGGCAAGCTGCAGGAAGATGTATATATGCATCAACTGCCAGGCTTCGAATGCTTCGGACCAAACGGACAACAACTCGTCTGTCACTTTCTATCCTCGTTATACGGCCTCAAACAAGCTGTGTACAACTGGTACGAACTACTATGCAATGTTCTCACTCGTCTCGGCTTCTTACAGTTGCGACACTGACTATGCTGTCTTCATATTTGACCACGTCAACAGCGAGGGGGTGAGGGTAATTTGCATCATCGCCTGGCACATCAATGACAGATTAGCTGGGAGCAACAATCGCACGTTTCTCGATCAAATGAAGGGACAGATCGCAGAGCGTTTTGGCATCACTGACCTAGGGGCTGTCAGCAAATATCTTGGTATACAATTCATTCACGATCATAATACCCACGAGCTCTGGATGCACCAGGAGGACTACATTGCCTACTTGCTTGACGAGCACGGTATGTCCAATTGCAATCCAGTCACTCTACCTATGGACCCCAACTTCCCCTTCGGTTGCACCACCAACATCTATCCGCATGTTGACAAGCTCAAGACAGGAATACCGGAAACTTGTGGGCAAACTTTTATACCTCACTATGTATACTCGTCCTGATATTGCCCTTGCCGTGATGCGACTGGTGCAGCACAATGCTTCTGTAAAACCCTGTCATTACTCTGCGGCAAAATACATCCTTCGTTACCTCTCGGGCACTAAACACTTGAAGGCCCACTATGGCGGCACTGGAATCAATCCTGCTCTTCACGGTTTCAGCGACTCAGACTGGGCGTCTTGTCCAGAGGACTGCATATCAATCTTGGGTCATGTCTGGTTCTTCAATAGGTGGGCCAATCTTGCACTTGGCCAAGAAGCAGACCACACATGCACTGTCCTCAACGGAAGCTGAATACATGGCCCTGACCGCTGCGATCCAAGACTGGCCTCTGGCTACAATCCTTCTTTGCATGCATCACTGTCCCTCTATCTTTACCTTTGAGTCTTTTCGCTGACAACGCTGGCAGCTATTGTGCTCTCACAAGAGGCAGCCAATCACATGCACACGAAACACATCAATCTTCGCTACCACTTCATCCATCAGTCACATCAAAGAAGGGACCTTCTTACCAGCATGGCTATCCACCCACAAAAACACGGCCGACATCTTTACCAAACCCCTACCTTGTCCCATCTTCGTCCAACATCGTTCTGGTCTATCTCTCATGTCGCGTTAAAGGAGTTTTTTAATCGTTCATTGTCTCATTGAGGGGGTGTGCTGAAAGTAAACTCACCAATGTTTGTTTTTGTCTGTTATTATCTTGAATTCCTTTCATCTACTATATCACTTCACTGTCTACGTTTGTTTATATCTCAGTGGTTCTTTCACCAACGCTGAGGTATGTATCTCTACTGTTTGCACACTTGCTTTCTCTTATGATTAATTGTCTCTAGACTTGTCTATTAGGTACTGTCAATGCATAGTGGTTCTTTCACCAACGCTGAGACTTGTCTATTAGTTTCACCTTTCAACATGAGCATCTTCTGGATCTCAGGAATGGTATCCCACTTCATGAAACACAGGTCAAAGTAGGACGAATCCAGACCAAAAATACGCCCTGCCATCAAGCGTAGTTTGCCGATCTCACTCGAGCGCCTGCCTTGGAGATGCTGCTCTAGCTGCAATACATATCAATCAGTGCTTGGTCACACAATGAAATATATAAACTAACATACCAATGATTGAAAATGAGAGGTAGGTACAAAACGATGGAGGTGATCCGGTAGAAGTGAATACACCTCTGTCACAAGACAAAGTTCTTCGGCACTCTTGCTTGCGTAGCGACTAGCAGATATGATCATGGGCGGAGGGTTTGGCATGGGCAATCTGAGAACATGGTGCTTGGGTGGGAACATCTCAGCAATAACACCATGTTTGTGAGCAAAGGTTGAGAGTTCAACATCGTAAGCCTTCAGCTTGTCGGGAACTTGCGCACTCGAACATTGACGTTGATTGGATGCCAAGATTTTGTTCTTCTCACCCAGAGTCCTATTGTTATTTTTAAGTGACTGGTTTTCTAGTTGCAGACTTCAAATGATCTAATAGAAATGCACAAAATTAGAGTCACCAAATGTGAGCGAAGCAAGGCATAAACATTACCTCCATGTCTCCACCCTGCACAGAAGCTGATGACTGAGTGGTGGTTGATGAGATCCCTACCACCGGTGCATCCAAATAAGATACGTCATTGTAGTCTAACTCGGACTCCGAGTGTTACGACCAACGTTCACCAATAATGATGAAGGCGAGCACACAACCACTAGGACTTGGTCAGAGGGGATAGTGAACAAGATGGTATTGAGCGTCAACGTCTAGGTCACTACAAGTGTAGGAAACGAAGTGGTTAAGTCTAAGGAGTACTTACGCTAACTAACCTACTTATATACATAATATTGAATAGGAGTCTAAAAGAAATCAGCCAATGAGAAAAGAGTCGTACAATACTGCGGATGACTAAGTATGACATCATGATATATAAGCGAATGAGTAAGACGGCAACTAAACAGAAACCCAAGTTCCGACTGGTTCTTCTTTGGGAAGCAAGATTGTTCTAGCCCATGGAGTAGGGGAGCCAATCGGAGAAACCACAGGTGATATGTGAAGAGGTGAAGGTGTGACAGGGTGAGGAGTCACATGACCGGTTCGGGTACTGGAAGTAGCCGAAGGAAAACCAAGAAATGAAAAATGGTTCGTATTAGGAATTCGTGACATTACCCCCTTTCTAGGATGAGCGTCCTCGCGAATGTAAGATGGTTGTATATTTTTCTGTCTCCATTTGAGGAAGTCAGGGGTCGTCAGAATTGAAGTGGAGATTCACGCCAATTTAACCGCATTTGGGTTCTCTGCATAAAAGTCGGCTACAATGAGCGGCGCGTTCTTCACATCTTCCTCTGACTGCCATGTTGCTTCTTCTACTGCATATCCTTTCCATTTTACTAAATACTGCAACTTGCGTCTGTATAGGCGGCTTTGCAATATTTGCTCTGCTTCATATTCTGGGACTTGGTCAACAATCTCTGGCAGTGGACGTGTTTGCGGCGGGTGATCGACAAGTTGAGAGGTTTGATGCAGGGTGAGTAGCGATACATGGAAGACTGGGTGAATGCGATATTTAATGGGGAGTTTCAACTTGTAGTTTAGCTCGCCAGTCTTCTCTTCGATTTCAAATGGTCCCAGACGGCGGTCGGACAATTTCTGGCTCGGACGACGTTGTTTGATATTTGTCGCGTCTAACCATACCTTGTTGCCTGGTTTGAATTCTGGTGAGTCTTTTACTTTATGATCATAAAAGCGCTTCATTCGATTGTTCGCTATTTCTAGCATCACCTTTGTCTCTTCTTGTGCCTCCTTCATCTCGGCTACTCTTTGATCGGCTTGGGGAATTGTGTTGGAAGAGTTAGGGGAAATTGTGAATTCGGGATTATAGCCATAGACACATTTGAATGGAGAATGTCCAGTGACTGTTACGGAATTGTTATGCGTGAATTCAGCAATTGGAAGCCAAGAAACCCAATCAGATTGACGGTAGGATGTGAAGAGTTGTAGGTACTGCTCGACTTCTTGATTTATTCGTTCCATTTGTCCATCAGTCTGTGGGTGATATGCTGTTGACATGGACCACTTGGTTCCTAGTCTTTTCGAGACTTCCTGCATGAACTTGGACACAAATTGTGTTCCTCTGTCCGAAATCACCTTCTTCGGTGTCCTGTGCAGCTTCCATACATGATTGAGAAATAAGTCCTGCGATTCCCTTGGAATTAACATCCTTTGTAGTCGGAGCAAGATGTGCTTGCTTGGTGAAGCGGTCAACGACTACTAGAATACTAGTCCTTTCCTTGGGAGATGGGTAGATCGGTGATAAGGTCACAGCTTATAGTCTGCCATGGTCCTTCTGGAATTTCGTTTGGCTTCAAAGGTCCATGGGGTTTTGATGGTAATACCTTTGTTTGCTTACATCGATCACATCCATCTACATAGTCATTGACCAATTTCTGCATCTGAGGCCACCAATAGTTCTGCGAGACAAGTTCGAGAGTTTTGGCCCACCCCATGTGTCCTGCTGCAGGTGAGTCGTGAAAGATCTCTAACACTGAGCGATGAATTTCCTTGTTATTGGGAACGTAGACCAATCCTTGGAACAAAATGAGTCCATCCTCTGTATTCCACTCTTCCAATCCCCTTCTCAACTGTACAGGGGCCTTCTTCAGGGTTTTGATAGCATTTCGGACTTCCGGATCCAAATCAGTACAGTTTCTGATGCGCTTTAACAGCGATTGTTCTCCTTCTATCAGAATCTGACCTCTTTTTGCGGCTTTGATATGAAAAAACTCGGGTTTCAAAAGCACACGATCGGAATTGTCGTTTTCTACCCCCTCTCTGTGGTCTGGCCTCCTGGACAGAGCGTCGGCAGTGTCATTAACCTTTCCTGGTTTGTGTTGCAGAGTGAAGTTGTACTCTGCAAGGAACAAGGACCATCTCACCTGTCTCCGAGTTAACTTCTGGCTCATCATGAAGTACTTGAGGTTTTTATGGTCCGTCCAGATCTCTACCGGATGAGGTGTGCCCTGCACATAATGCCTCCACTCTTTCAATGCACGAATAATGGCTAAAAGTTCTTTGTCGTGAATGTCGTAATTACACTCTGCATCCTGCATCGATTTGCTAAAAAAAGCCACTGGATGCCATAGTCCATCTTCTTCCAACTGAGAAAGTACACCACCAGTAGCATAGTCAGATGTGTTGCTTTCTATCTTCTGTTTTTTATTTGCATCTGGCATGACTAGCACTGGTGCGGAAGTGAAATTGTCTTTCAGAGTTTTGAAAGCCTTCTCTTGCTTGTCTGTCCATTCCCATGGTACATCCTTCCTGATGAGCTCATTCATGGGTCTGGCAATGTTCGAGAAACCGAGAATGAATCGATGGTAAAAGTTTGCGAATCCCATGAATCTTTGAATATCCTTGACACAGGTAGGAGTGGGCCATTCCTGAACTCCTTTTACCTTGACCGGGTCCATCAAGACATGTCCATCTTTGATGATCAAACCGAGAAACTCCACTTCTTTCTTCTCAAAGGAACATTTCTCCGGTTTGAGATAAAGATCATTGTCCTGCAGTCTTTGTAGTACCTCGCACACCACCTTCTGATGCTTCTCTACATCACCGTTGGTGAAAACCAAGATGTTGTCAATGTAGACTACAATGACCTTGCCTTCCTTAAGGTCTTGGAAGATCTGGTCCATCATAGTTTGAAATGTAGCAGGGGAGTTCGTCATGCCGAAGTACATTACAACTGGTTCATGATGTCCAAAAGGAGTTTTGAAGGCGGCCTTCCACTGGTCTCCTTCTCTCATTCTAATATTGTTATAGCCCCATCGAACGTCCATTTTCGAAAAGAGTTTTGCACCGGAGAGACGATCAATGAGATCTTGAGAACGAGGGAGAGGGTATGCATTTCGGATGGTTTTCTCATTCAACCTCCGATAGTCCATGATGGGTCTGAGCTTTCCGTCCTTCTTAGCAACAAAGAAGAAAGGAGCTGCTACTGGAGATTCGCTATCTCTCAGTCGTCCCAAATCATATTCCTGCTTCAACCACTTCTCACATGCGTCATTTTTGGCGGGGGACAGGGGGTAAGCCTTCGCATTGGGAGGAAGATCGTTAGGGTCCTTGAGGTCCACCTTGTGATCCCATTTCTTGGACTCGGGGAATCGAGTAGACTCTTCTTCGGAGAAGACCTTAAGATAGTCATGGAGCCAGTCTGGCACCATTTCCTCTACAGGCTTCTTTTCCTTCTTCTTCTCCTCCTGCTGCGCTAACTCTGATGCGACAGAGCTCTTGTATCTGATCCACACGTTCTGTGATGAATCTTCATCCTTGACCTCCTCAATCTGCACATTCTTGGTAGCTCCGTGTCCAACAGTAGTAGCAAGGTCCAATTGTTTTTCTTCCTAAAGCTTGACAGGTATAGTACCCACATGTCCTGTACATTTTGGAGCTGAGGCTGTTCGACTGAACCTGATGATGGATAGAGGTTTCCTCGATATCCTCATCATTGTCATCTTCTGCCGGTATCAAATCGGGCAACACCGAAAGGATTGAAGAGTTCGTGGCTCTTCGCTTCTTTGCCTTGGTCTTTTTGTCCTTGACCTTGGCTTCTTGATATTTAACCAGACAACGGTCTAGTGCCACCTTTCCTGCATTCCAATCGATACTGGGGTTGTGGTATCATAGCCAATCTATTCCAATGATGACGTCATTGGTTCCTAGATCTGTGATCAGAAAGGCCACTTCTTCCTAATGATCCCCTATTGTAAGCTTCAAATCTGCGTAACTTGTAATTGGTCCGATGGAATTGTCTGTTTCATCAATATTATGGATCGACATTGCTCGCAACAACTGCTTGGTCTGGACTTGATTCTTTTTGACAAATTTTTCACTAATGAAAAGGTTTGTTGCTCCGCAGTCTACTAGAGCATTGACGGCTGCTTTCTTGTGTTTCCCTTCCAACGTAACTGGCAAGTAGAAATGGTCTCGTTTATTCCCAGAACAAACTTCTGACACTTCTGCAAACATAATTGCCGAGTCACCGAGAATGGAAAAACAATTTCTCTGATCTAAGTCCGCAGTCGACTTCGATCTCCCTAAAAACCCTTCTGCTCCTCTTTCTTTGCTGGGTTGTACATGCTGGAGAGGCAGATCCTCTCATTGACGATGATATCTTCCAGTATGAGTGGTTTCACAGCTGGAACTTCTTCTACCTTGCCGGCGCAGACAGCTGGTCCTTTGCCTTTGTCAAGGGGCTTTCCCGTGCAGTTACAGGCCATATGCCCTTCTTCTCCGCAGCGGTAGCACTTGAAAACACCTCCCGGTTGTCCTTGAGGTCGGGGTCTACCTCCTGTCCTGGTTGCATCAACGTCCATGGCGTTTCTTCCCTGTGACGTGGTCTTGGGTGCTCCAGCTGGTGCGGGTGGAACAGCGGAGCCTTGCCAAGGTCGTCGTGGTGCGAAGTTCATCTTCCTCTCGTCGTCAAGCTCCTCGAGGTTCTGCCCGACTAGAAGCACCTCCCTGATTAATCCCTCCAGGGTGTCTTTCCTGTTAGGATGGATATTGGCCAAGTAGTTTTTAACTCGTTGGTCCAATCCATGGCGGAGTTTGCGCATCAACTCATAGTCGGAGAATTGACAGAAGGCGAGCTTCTGGCGGAAGATGGAGATATACTCCCCGACTGTTCGATTTCCTTGTTGGAGAGCTTCCAACTCTCTTGCTGCCTTCTCCTCTTTGTTGACGACAGTCCACATGACCTTCATGTCCTTGACGATGCTGTCATAGGATCCGGTATGGCCGCTGAGAGCCATGGGGGTAACACTTTCCGCCCATTTGGCTGCGGCGCCCCGGCAAAAAGAAATGAGGCAGGTGCATTTCTGCTGCTCTGTCACTCCAGGGTAACCAGTGAAGTAGATGGCAAGTTGGGTGAGGAAGGTGTCAACATCAATGGAGTTCTTCTCACCCGTGAAGTCCATTGGTTTTGCCATCTTGAGATCAGAGCCTGAAGTCCCAGATGTAGAGCCTGGGATCTTCGTTGTAGGCGAGGTTTCCAAAAGCGTGATCTTGTCTTCTGTGTCCCTCAGCCTGATCTTCAGGTAATTGATCTCGTCGTCCGCGTGCACCAGGCCTGCTTGCAGCTCGTCGATCTCCTTCTGCAGACTGTCTATCAAGTGTCTGGTGTACTCTCTTTCTGTTACAACGACGGCAGTTGATTGCGCACGAAATGTCCTGATGGGTGATTATACTCGACCTGGGCCCAGAGATGCCGAAGGGTGCAGAAGGGCCTGCGGTTGGGGTAGTGGATGATCCTGCAGGTGGTAATGGGCCTAATGGGTTGATCCATCCTTGGGGCACCAGAGAGTGGATTGCACCCCTTGGTGGAGTTGCTACTCTTGGTACAACTGGGGGAGCATCTATCACTTCCATATCCTCGGAAACGTTGATCCCAGGCTCTTCTAGATTCTTGGACATGGAAGAATGAGCAATGGGAATCCAAACAGGAAATGTTGTTGTGTAGCGCGAAAGCCCTAGCCTCGACTAGGCGGGATCTGTACGGCGGGGCAATGATGACAAAGGTGCGAATGCAGCATGTGTAGCGGTTCGTCAACCTATGTAGAACTCAAGAGGAGTTCGCGAAAGATGCGATGAACTTTGGGTCTACTTTTAGCACCCTTCGTTCCTATCGTAAAGTATTTAGACAGTGAGAGGACTGTTGCGAGTGCCGTTGTGTTACATAGAAAGCAGATATGGTAGCGTACAGTTGGCAGGGTTTTGGGCCTCACTGCAGACGTGCGGAAACAGGACCTAAGTGTCACTGATCCTTATGAACTGGCGGCTCATAGTAAGACGAGGGCCTGGTTCACTTCTACTAAAGACTAACATAAAGAGATTGAGATAACAAAACACGTCGGGGAATGATGATTGAATTAAAATGTAATCCATGAGATAAATCTCAGCAGAATAGCACAGTGAAGTTTATCATGAACAGTGATGTCCAAGATTAAAGTTCGAGTCGGAGTGGTAAGATAGACTTAACCTAATGTTATGACCAATGTTCACCAATAATGATGAAGGCGAGCACACAACCACTAGGACTTGGTCAGAGGGGATAGTGAACAAGATGGTATTGAGCGTCAACTGTCTAGGTCACTACAAGTGTAGGAAACGAAGTGGTTAAGTCTAAGGAGTACTTACACTAACTAACCTACTTATATACATAACATTGAATAGGAGTCTAAAAGAAATCAGCCAGTGAGAAAAGAGTTGTATGATACTGCGGATGACTAAGTATGACATCATGATATATAAGCGAATGAGTAAGATGGCAACTAAACAGAAACCCAAGTTCCGACTGGTTCTTCTTTGGGAAGCAAGATTGTTCTAGCCCATGGAGTAGGGGAGCCAATCGGAGAAACCACAGGTGATATGTGAAGAGGTGAAGGTGTGACAGGGTGAGGAGTCACGTGACCGGTTCGGGTACTGGAAGTAGCCGAAGGAAAACCAAGAAATGAAAAATGGTTCGTATTAGGAATTTGTGACACCGAGTCATCATGTGCAATGGGACACTGAGGCATCACAAGAACTGGTACAGTCAAGTAAAACACAGTATGGAAAGTAATGATGGACAGACCCACCATTTATAGTTGAAAATATTTGCTGCACAACTTGGACCGAACAACATGATGAAAGAAAACACAGGGGAAATTACATTGTGCATAGCCTTGATGTTTAATTGAAATCAGCATGCGGGTGAATGATAATATGACACGAGGCAACTTGCATTTGTGGCACTATCTAGTGCTGATGGCCAAGAAGTATTGGAGAGCCAGCATGCACCATTGGGACCGATGACTGTAACAACAGTCTAATAAGCGCTGTAATATTTAAAACTGAAAGATTCTGAATCAGATGTTGTGCTATTGGCTCAACATGCTTTGACCTAGAAGACTAATGATGCAGACTCACCTGCATTTGCTTGACATAATAATAAATGTGCTTGGATTGTGGTCCCAATTGGTTTGAGATTAAGATTCAGAAGTTGCAATATTGAACGTTGAACTCAACCAGTGGACTTAGTGAGAAAACATGCACAGACCTGGACTCGGCTATTAGAACCGAGTGTGAGCGTTGATTCAACTTGTTTAAACTAATTAAAACTCGATTAAATGCTGACATAATCATGCTGACAATGCGCCTTTAGTGGCAGGTGGGTATGAATGATTCAGAAGATGAAGATTAGCTTTGGTAGGATGTAACTAATATTGTAGTAGGATGATTCAGATGTACAGTCTCAAAATAAAGCCAGGTCAAGTAATGATGCTGCAGGGTATAGATAGTCTTGGTAGTAGTCTGTAGCCGGTCCAGGTGAAGCATTGAACAGAGGTAGGTTTGTGTTTTGGAATACCTGGCGATGAAGGTGCCGATACAATATGTCAGTACAATCCTCCACACCTGGGGGCAATGCCATTCAAAATGGTGAGGAAGGGGGGTTCATTGAAATTAAAGGAAGCTTACCATGTGGTAACCAATGGTGTCGCTATCACCAAACAGTGGGCGAAGTGATGACCTGAAGATCCCCAAGCAGTGGGAAAGCGTCAATGCTCCTTTGATGCTGCCGAGTGCATGTGGGGTACTGGAGAACCAGAGGGGGGATACCTGGGGTGAGGATTGTCATGCTCCTCTTGGTCTTGGCTGTTATGGACTTGTACTTACTCTCTAACTTCTATGTCTTCCTCCTTCATGCCAGCTGAAGACACACTGCAGTGGTCAGCAGCAGCATCAGCTGCTTCTCTCAACTCCGCATCTACATCCGCATCACCTTTGCCGTCTGCGTCTGGATCTGTGTTGGGGTTGGAGTGGGGAGAAGGAAGGTGTTGTGCTGAAAGGTGTGTGTCAACTAGGGAGTGATAAAATGGAGGATGTTTCACCCACCAGATGACACCACACCCTGTCGTCTTTGTCCAGGATGTTCATCATCAGTAGTCTGTAGGGTAGTGATTACAGGCGGAGAGGGAGGGTCACAGTTCTGATCTGACTCGAGACATACTAGTTTGGATTAATACAGATAGCACGAAATGATGAATGACAATGAACCACATGGACGCAAAAAAAAAGAAAAAGAAACAAAAGAGCACGAAAACAACAGTTGCAGACAGCGAGATGAGCATGGGATGAAAACATATGATTGGAGTGTGGGGTGATCCAATTCGATGATTTGCATTAGATGATAGAAAGAGATTCAAGATTCGACTGGATGATAATCAATAGTGAGAGTCACCATAGATCCAAGATGAGGAATAACAAGACAGAGAACCAGGACACCAGTCAAGGAAGCGCAAGCCACGTGAACGCGAAGGAAAATATCTTGCATTCATCTTCGGTGGTGGGAGGAATAGTGGGTGGAGGTGCTGGTACAATGGCAGGGATGAAGGTGTTAGGAGGTCCAGGTGTTAGTGGGGAGCCATTGTGAGCTGGCGCTATGTCATCAACTCGAGATCCATTCATTAAAAAAGGCACGCACTGATATTTGCGCTTGACCCTGGTTTCCCCTTCTTTTGGGGGGCGCCCATGATGGGAGGGGCAAAAATGTGGGTTTGATAGGTCCTGAGTTCGCCAGGTTGATCTAATGGACCTACTGGGATACCCCTGGACTGGTGGGCAGCCAACACGGCACAGAGAGACTGTGGCTGTTGGTCACGGGCATTGAGAGCGCTCCTTTCATCAGTGGCAGCATCAAGGAGGTCCTTGATATCCTATGAAGTAGCACAGACACTGGATTGGCTGCTGGATCGGGAGTGAGATTTATGAGTAGGCCGAATGGTAAGGTGATGTGTTGAATTTGACGAAGTCATTGGGGGAGGGAGTCGATATGGAACACCATCACAGTAGACGGTAAATGCTAGCGGTGATCAGCCAAAGCTAACATGGAAGAGTGTGTAGGATTCAGTGGTACGGTAAGAGGTTAAGATACCAGTACATCAGTAATAGGATATTATATACACTGAATCAGCGTTAGTAACCAAACACATACAATTGTAACGCGTGTCCAATCAACACAGATCACGTGTATGACGCATTAATTACATGAGAGTAAGCAGCATGTCAATGCTTACACAATATCAGGAATGCGACCGCATGACATGGATGTAGCCTGGAGAATGTGAGGAAGTAAAAATGTAGTATGAGAGGGAACTTACGGAGAGTAGAGGCCTGTAGTCATATTCGCCACAGTCATTACAAGGTCATTTGGAAGATGGCTAGAGGGGTGCAATGAGATAAGATGTGTCATTGAAGCTGCCTGAGCGAGGACGGACACCATGAGTGGATGGGGGAGGAGGGAGGGGGCCTGGAGGGAGAGCAGCAGAACTGAGGGATGATGAAGTGTAGTGATGGTGAGATCGGTGGTATGGACGTGGTGGGGGTTCTACAGTGATAGTAGGATTTGCAGAGTAGGGGCTGTGATCGTGCTGGATTTGATTTGAGATGGGGGTCAAGACGAGATGGCCACCTGCATCTCTAAGGATACGCTGGAAACCAGCATGTGCATCGGCAGCATGGGATTTGATGGCTGCAAGATATTCACTGAGTTCATCATAAGACTCGAGAACAACACGCCTGTGTGCTTCTGCCTCATCTCTCTGTCTATCAGTATGGGCTATACGAGCCTCGTCTGAGAGGGGAGCACCATTGAAGGTCACCATTCAAGCATCCAGAACATTGTGCCAATGATCAAAGATGGCGCGAGAAACAGAGGAATAAATGTTGTGGCGAGTCCCAAGTCCAAATTGGAGATTTTGAGCATGCGGCGGATGACGCAGGGAACTGCAATCACAATGGGGAAGGCGAGCAGGAGTGATGCAATTGGTGGGGCTGATGATGACTCGGACACATAAAAATCGACGGTGATGACTGAGGGAACGATGGATGAGATAAAGAAGAGTGAAATGTATACAGGTTCAGAGATAAGGGAGGAAGTAAGAATCCAATCACTGGCTGCAGATGTCCTGCATTTGAAGGAACATATCAGTGTCAATAGTATCAACAACCAAAAACTCGCCAGGTCTGCTGGCATCCTCTACTATCAAACAACCCCGAATAATTGAGTGAACTGAAAAAAATTCTGCGGAAGCCCTAGGCTTTGTCTTGACACGCCAAAACTGAAAGTCTTTGTCCTTTTGAGGACGAATGCCGACCGGTTGATCATATGGGAGAACAAGTGTGACAGGATATTGAACATCCCCTACTGTGCATGTGAAAATCAACATTAGTTTGCCAAAGATGATGCCAGTGTCAGTCTGCAAGATGACGCAATTGTATCGCGGTGAGCCATGGAACATCGGAGTGCATTGAAGGTAGTCCATGGACACTCGCCAGTCGACAAGTGACTCAAAATTGACTTTAAGGAATTGATGTTCCATGATCTAATTCAAAAGGACTCAGAGATTATGTTATTTCGGAGTGTTGAACATCATCAACTCACCATGTCACTCGCAATGAGTTGAATCCATTGTCCACCTGGAAACGGTATGCTGTTGGCAGCAAACGCATGGTTCAGAAAGTCGTTTAGCTTGATTCAAAATCTATCAAACACTGGATTACCTGGTGCAGGGAGTATCCCTACGCTAGGCTCGTATCCACCACTTTTCCGATGCATCAGGTGTCCATCCGACGTCCATCCGACATCTATCCATTCCATCCGATACACATCCGCTTTTCGGATGACATGCCTTCGGATCTCCCCCTATAGCTCACGCATCCGCCGCATCCGTCCTGTCCACGTCCATTCTACCTCATTGGTACATACTCACACACATTTTCTTGTTACAGACTGAACACAGACATATCCTCTCACACTCCAGTATTTTTCGGATAGCTTATGGCACGGTCTAGACTCGCTACCTATATATCTATGTTCCTTGAAAATACTGTACCCTATAAGCATGGAGGTTTTTGGAAAATACTTACTTCATGTAACTTCCTCCCACTTTTCCTGCACCTTACCAGAAGGTCGCTTTGACTTATACCCACTATCCATCCAACCTTTAATGAACTTCCTTTGACTTTGATTTGCATCCTGTCCGATCTGCAAGTGCCATCCGCTCCATCCGATGAATCCGTACGTTTCGCATCCTATCCGTTTCATCCGCTTTTGCAGATCTTTCATCCTATAGGGTTGTTTTAGACAGAGACTAGTATTCCCCAGTAGCAATCCCCTTAAGGGTCGAACGCACTTGTTCCCAAGCGAGGCAGCAGGCAGCAAAGACCCAACTGTGTAGTAGATTGACTTCTCTCTGTTGCACTTGTTGTACCCACACCGGACTACCTGCCTCGATGAGTGTGAATGACATTGTTACCTGCTTTGAACTGAGAGTAAAATGTTGGGTATCAGTAGGTTCCGTCGAGTCAACATCAATATCATCTGAGTTGTTGGTCTCCTGGAGTGCAGTATCGGGTCGGTCTATGCTGAGATTCTGAGTGTCAAGGTGATCCAACTTGTTGCGAATGTATTCCGCAATCAAGCTGTCATGGTTGTATTGGAGGATCTTAAAAAAAATTCATTGTTAGTCATATATATGCGAACTCAGATTCAGAAGTCACTTACCTGTTCAGTGAAGTTCTTGAAATTTGTGCGATCTTGATAGGCATCTTTCAATGGGCTGTGCATTTTCTCATTCGGCTTGGTGCTGTAGTTTCGAGAAACACCTTTCGCCTCGATGTCATCAAAGAGATGGGCCGAAAGATGTTTCTTGGGGAAATTCCAGGACTTCTCGGACATCTCTGCTGTATCCTCGATGTATTTCTGACCAAACAATTGGATTCAATGCAATGAATTAGAATTGAACTAAAAATATGTACATCCATCAATCCAGTGAGCTTTGACAACACTTCCCGGCCATTATTGATGGTATCTTCAGTATGAACCTCTCATGAAGCATACATATTGAACTCCACGTAGCTTCAGATACAGCGGAGCATGAGATATGCCTCTGGATCTGTATCGTGGTTGAATACATTATGTGTTGCAAATACAGTAAGCTAAAACAATGTGAATGATATATTAAAGTGAATGATCTAGACTCGCCTTAGAGATGTCTTCGTATTTTGTCCTGTCGGAAAATGATACTGATATAACCTGATTGAAGTGATTCAGGTTTCACCAACGCAGAATTGATTGAAAGCTGACAATATAAATGAAAACCTACATAAGTACAGCGGAAAAATGACTCACAAGCTGTCAATCTGGACAGTGGCCTGTCGACCCAAACATTCAACCCATTTCTGCAGTTCGGGCCACATGTGATCACTGAACAATCCCTTGTTGTTGAAGTGGAGCTTGTCGTGCAATAGAGCCCTGTGGACGTCGGTGTGCTCCAGAACGCCAAATGAACTCTGAAAACGAAACAGTAATATTAGACTGAGTAAGATAAAGATAAGGATAAGAGCGAGACTCGCGTTGACATCGTGGAGGCTCTGGGAACTCAAGATCTGTTCTCTTGCATCCAATGTAGAAGATTCTCGCACTCGAGCAAGCAATGCCTTAGTTCCTGTGCATGTGCGGAGAGGAAATACCTTGAGAGTGTTTGAAAGTTCGTTGTGAGGCACTAGACAGACAGGACAAGGAAATTTGCCCATTAAACCACGAATCAATGCCATTACAGCCCTACAACAGTGAACACATTTAGATGTCAGAGATATATAATAGTTACCAGAACTAGAATACATGTACTGTTCTTCATAGTCTGCAGATAGTATTAGTACAATTGGATAGAAGGCGCAAATAACATCATCCCAGTATTTGATGGCAGAACCAAACCTCGATAGCAGTGCCAGACAGTCGAGAATCTTCAGAAACAAGGCATGCCACACCGCATTCTTGAAGTTGACAAAAGCAGGTTTTCCAGAATGCTACTTGTCTTCCTTTACCTGTCCTGAGTGTTAATAATGAAATCATCAGTAGTTATAAGGAAGAGTAGAGCGAACAATAAGCAGCCAACCAACAATGCGCCCTCCACCCAAGCCTTCTCCGTTGTGAATCGCGATAGGAAGATTAGCACAGTGAGCGACTATGGGATAACCTTTCGCGAGACCGAATGATGACAATTTTGCTTTGTCGGCATACAAAATGAACACAAGAGGTTTTGCGTCTGGTGGGATTTTCGACTATTATGATATTCTGAATCAGTCAATGGTATATACTACAATGCAGACATGATACTAATAAGAAAATGACCTACCTGATACTCCCAAAATGCATTAGCAGTCCATGGTTCATGAATGAACCAAACGAACTTCTCACCATTGAACTTTGACAGCCTTTGTGCATTGAAGATGAAGTTCGGACCTACTTGTGGATCTTGAAGTAAATCGGTGACCCAGTCCCACAGTGAATGATGAAATAGTGGGAATGTTTGATCAACACCTCAGAAGGGCACAGTAACTTCCTCCTTTGTAAACTATTACATGACAGAAGCAAAATAAGCATAGTATATACGAAGTTAGTGAATAGTACACACAGGTGTCATCTTGAATGACACTGCATCCCACATGTCTCTCACATCTTTGCGATTCTTGAGGGTAAAGAGCTCAATCCTGCTGCAATGAATGAGGTGAATGAGCCGGTCCAGCTGTTCATGAGAGAGTCCAGCATTGTGAGCAAGTTCTGCAACCTCGAAGTTGATATGAGTGCGAAACGGCTGCCAGGGCATAGGATCTGCTTCTGGAACTGCTGGTGGGGCACCGGGACCGCTTCCATAGTCCTCAAAGTGGTACACTTTGGTGGGGATACCACTACTGGGGTGGTATTCCACTTTGATATCGTCAATGTCATGCTGGGGTGCAGGCGATGCTGTTCCAGATGGTGGTGGATCACCTGTATAGACATAAGTTGAAAACATGATGATACAAAGAAATGACGAAAACATACCATCAGAATCGGTCCATCCCACATCAGCATCATGTTGGTAGTCTATTTGGTTATTGAAATCGAAATCATCACCCTCCGAGCGATTGTTGATAGCTTGCGTCAATGCACGACAGGTCAGTGTTGGCGATCAAGGACAAACGAAAGTGATGGCTTACAAGATGTCGAGCCACTGACGGATGGACGGACACCAGTGAACACACTACCCTGATGCGCCTGTTCTCGCTCTACAATTAATTAACATTAGTGTAGAATCAAAATGATGCTAGTAATATAGTAGACATACCTTGACGAATGGCCCTAGCAAGCTCCAAATCCTCTCTTCTTTGTTTAGAGCGCCTCTGGCAAGCCTTTTCGTGTGTTTGGAATCCTTGGCGATGAAAGGATCGGCCACAATGATCACAGGATTGTTGCAAATTGGTGGGCATCTAATATGATATTGAAACTGGGACACATATCAGCATCAGATTCATCAGAGACAGTGATGAGACTTACATGAATTGTTAGTGAAGATGGGTGTAAAATCACCTCTCAAGACAGCAGATGGTGTGGCACTTTGATGGAGAAGTGCTGGAGGGTGAAGTCGGGTATACAAAGCTTGCAGAATCTGAAATATGTAAGTGATTCGAATCAGCAGACTAATAACATTTAAAAGACACAGATCTGCCAATGAAATTATACAAATCAGAACTGTAACAAGGAGAACAGACGATACTAACGAAGGCTGAAGTTGTTGGTGAAGGGGTGTTGAGAGGATGGTGTGGTGTCTGAATTAACAGCTGGCTACAGCATTGCAATTGACGTACCAATGGTCTAGGTCCAGCATCAATATTACAAATCAGTTACAATGATGCAACTCTGGTATAAATATTCCTAATGGGTTTTAAGAATAGAACTTAGGTTTCAATATTGTGACTCGGTATCAATACAGTTGAAACCGAGTCTCACAGGCATGCTGTTGCAACCAACTTACGAAATTTCTGACATGTCAATAAGTGCTTGGCTAGCTTTGTTACCAACTTCTGTAGTGTCATGAAAATGTGATGATGTCACAAGCAACGCCATGTGGCATGCGGAAAGCCACACTATGCATTTAGATCAGGCAGCCTCTATGCGTTTGGGGCAGTCGAATTTGACCGAGGTAAATTCTTGACATACTCCTTCATAACCGACAGCATCCACGGGCAGCTTCTTTAGAGTAAGACACAATGTAGCTAGGAACAATATTAAAGTCTTCAAACATAACCTTTTGAATATAATAACTCATGTGAATTAGTTGAATTGGTTGTAGTGTTCAATTTTTTGCACAAGTTTGCCATAGCTTTACTGAATAATGAAACCTCCATTTGTGCTCGATACATCCTCTCCTCCATCAAGCATCTCCCTCTTTGCAGAAAGAGTACCGTGCTACTGTCCTCTTGCTGGAGCTGTGTCTGCGTAGCAATCTCCCTGATGCTCATGTCAAGGAGAGCTATTAGATTGTGTGGGTCAACCAATTCAAACAGCACGAAAGCTGTGGCGTAGAGGGAGTATGGAAGCTGGAGGTGAACTTATGAGCAATCAGTATGAAAACTAATGTGAGCAGACTAATGATTCCAGTCCTGAAATTTTGGAGCCAACATCTCAGGGCAGTCTCGGTGGGTTCAATTTCAACAAAGTGGTTTTTTGAAGGTGACTGGGACATAGGAAGAGAAGCTGAAATGATATTTAACATGTTGAAAAGTTTGTAGGGAGCAAAAGGCTCCAGGGATATTGAGCCCATTCAGTGTACAACTCCTTGTTAGACGGGCCAGCCGAGGGACATAATATCCCATATTAAACGGGCCAGCGGACCATGGGCCAATGTCATAATATCCTTGATGTTGATGGGTGGGCCAATGTGTATATAATACTTGATGGTAATGGATGGGCCAATGTTGCCACTATGTGTAAGGGATTTGATAGAGATAGGAGGGCCGAGATATTTGAATGATGTAGACTAGTGGGCAGATGGAACTGTCGATTGCATAGGCGGATGGGCCAATGGGACTGTACATCATATAGACAGATGGGCCGATGGAACTGTTGATTTTATAAATGGATGGGCCGATGGGACTGTACATTACATAGACAAATTGGCCGATAGAACTCTCAATTTAAATGATGTAGACTAGTGGGCTGATGAAACTGTCAATTATATAAACGGATGGGCCGATCAACCTGTAGATTGTATAGACGGATGGGCCGATGGGACTGTACATTACATAGACAGATGGGCCGATGAAACTGTCAATTATATAAACGGATGGGCCGATCAACCTGTAGATTGTATAGACGGATGGGCCGATGGGACTGTACATTACATAGACAGATGGGCCGATGAAACTGTCAATTATATAAACGGATGGGCCGATCAACCTGTAGATTGTATAGATGGATGGGCCAATGGGATTGTAAATTGAATAGACAGATGGGCCGATCAACCTGTAGATTGTATAGACAGATGGGCTGATGGACCGATGGGACTGTACATTACATAGATGGATGGGCCAATCAACCTGTAGATTGTATAGACGGATGGGCTGATAGGACTGTACATTACATAGATGGATGGGCCGATGGGACTGTAAATTGAATAGACGGATGGGCCGATCAACCTGTAGATTGTATAGACGGATGGGCCGATAGAACTATTGATTTTATAGACCGATGACCTAGGAAGACAGATATTAACTCGGTGATACTGGACGTTGGAATGTGTTACTTGGTGCTTGGTACTCAGGCCTGAGTGGTTGGTTATGGGTGGTTGGGACCCGGGACTGACTCGGCGTGTGATGCTTGGTGCTTGGTGCTCGACACTCGATGCTTACGACCTGATCGAAAGTATCCAATGCTCAACATTCGGTCGGGGCTCAATCGCTTTCTCAGAGGTATGGAATTTATGAATATACAGTGGCTCAAAAAACTGTCCGCATGTTTTCACATTTTTCACTATCTATGATATTTTATGAGAATGTACAAACACATCAAGGACATGCTGGTACCATATTGGAGTACTACTTCAGGGCTTCCAATTGAGCCCTATGGCGTGGGAATCAGCCGAGATATGGTGGACATATGAGGCTTACAAAATGATGACTCATGCGGACAGTTTTTTGACTCAAATATTTTACAGTGATAATCAGGTATTCTAGTACATTGTGTGACCTCCCTTGGCTTTAATTACTGCCTCTATCCTTCTAGGCATACTCTTAAAACTATATCTAACTATATAAACCAGAATGTCTTATGTGTCATAGTCATAATCACTATGAAAGCCATCTCCTCTGCTCGAAGGGATAATATCCTCTCTTTGTCCTATGCTGGCCTCTCTGCTCATCAAATTTTCTCTAGAACTGAAGTATGCAAGTCTACTGTGGCCAAGTGTATCAAAGAAAGCCATCTGGACAAGGAAAACTCTTGTGGAGGACGTCCACCTCTGCTAATAAGAGGGCTATCATCCAACATATCACTACAGGAAAGGCTAATGATGCCGTCCAAGCCACCCATTATATCAATTCCACCATCACCACCACTGTCTCTTCACAAACTGTGAGGAATTTTCTCAAGGCAGTTCATCTCAAGGCAGTAACAAAGAAGAAATGCCTCTTCTCTCTATCAAACATAGACAGAGAAGACTACCTTTGGCTTGGCCCATCAAAACTGGACTGTAGAGGACTGGAAGCATGTTATATGGTCAGATGAGACCAAAATCGATAGGATTGGGTCAGATGGGAAGGTATATGTGTGGAAAAAGAAGAGGGATTTTCTAACAGACAGAGAGGTTAGTGAGACTGTCAAATTTGGAGAAGGTTCTCTAATTGTATGGGGCTGTATGGGATGGAATGGTGTGGATATACTTGCTGAAGTTGAGGGGAGGATGGATGCTGAGCAGTATGTGGACATTCTAAATGACCACTTGCTGTCTAGCATAGCTGAATTAGGGATTGATGAAAAAGACATCATTTCCCAACAGGATAATGATCCCCAGCACACATCTAGAAGAGCCAGACAATGGTTTAAAGAACATAATATCAATGTTCTTGACTGACCAGCACAGTCCCCTGATGTCAATGTCATTGAACATCTCTGGGGAACACTCAAGAAGAAGCTTCAAGCCTATGAAACCCCCCTAAAGTAGTATAGGAGCTATGGGAGAGAGTAGCAGTGGAATGAGCAAGGATTACAGCAGAATATTTCCAGAAATTGATTGAGAGTATGCCTAGAAGGATAGAGGCAGTAATTAAAGCCAAGGGAGGTCACACAATGTACTAGAATACCTGATTATCACTGTAAAATATTTGAGTCAAAAAACTGTCCGCATGAGTCATCATTTTGTAAGCCTCATATGTCCACCATATCTTGGCCGATTCCCACGCCATATGGCTCAATTGGAAGCCCTGAAGTAGTACTCCAATATGGTACCAGCATGTCCTTGATGTGTTTGTACATTCTCACACAATATCATAGACAGTGAAAAATGCGAAAACATGTGGACAGTTTTTTGAGCCACTGTACTAATGACCCTCCCTGGCCGATGTTTCACCAAATGGAATCTTTACCGAATCCATCATGGCCCATCCACATGAAGGAACACCTGCATAAATATGGACTGAATCCCTCATATACCATGCCCAAGCAACCCGATCCCCTGCTACTTCATGGACCCCATGCCTGACTATCCTTCCTGAAAATGCTATCATGACCCCGGGATCATACATGAACTCCAGCTGAAGGCTGGGCATGCTCATGTGAGCATTAGAATAATTCCCCACAGTTGTTAGAATGTCAAACCACTCAGGAGATGATAAGTGGTCTCTATGATATGGGGTTTGCTGGTTAGAAATGACAGAGAGGGTATTGAAGATGGAAGCCCAGAGCTTGAGGGTCTCTGACATGTTCGGAAGGTTCTTGGTTTCGGCCAACTCACTGAGGCTTGAAAAGGCACACATGCCTGCCCAGTACTGTCGAGGATGCATGACCCTGAGTGCTGCTAGCTGCCGGCCTCGCAATAGCTTTGAGGATATCCTCAGAAAGTGGACCCTTCAAGGAAGCGGATACCTCCAGATCTGAGACAGTCTACAGGAGTGGTGAGTTTAACTACTGAGGAACATCGGCATGTCATGGCATCTAACCTCATGCCCCTGCTGAAACCACGCTGGGGATATATTGATGCATCCGGCAGTAATGTCACCGCTCCCGGAGCCTTGACCGAACCACTCTTCATTAGTCCGCCAACTGCCACTGACTTTTACACTTCTTTCGAGTGTGGGAGTCAGCAATTGCGAGGCCTTCCAAATTTCTTCCTGTAGTATATTCAGTATTCAGGATCCATCAGGCGATGAAGAATCTGAAATACCTGGGTGGTGTCCATGAGTGCACCAGGGAGATACCACATGATGATCGCACCAGTGACATCGAGAACTGTGGCAGGCATGTTGACAAACTTGGTACCCTCATGGCCAGGAGGACACCTGTCAAGCAGCTTCTTCTCTCTCTCTTCATTATGGCCAGTGTCCTTCAGGGATATCAATTTGCTGTATCTTGCAATATCGATCTGCATCTGAACTGTGATTGAGAAATCTGAATGATCAAATGGAAGATCCGGATCTGCAATCCGACTCACTGGGATTGTGATATGCTTTGATGAGGTGATCGACCAATCGATCACAAGCTATCACCAGATCAGTGTCTAGGTGAGGAGAAGGTATGACCGGATCCCCTTCCATCTTGTCCGCATTGAATTTCTGTTCAGTATATTCACTCACCTCATGGGTGACAGTCAGGGCCCAAGAGATCCAGAAGGATATCTCAATCTCGGAGTCTGGGGACACATTCATGATGAAGGGATGTATTTGATGGTGGGAAATGCGATGGTGAGTATAAGATGATGCCTACAATTCGGCTTTAAGGTGGATATCAGATCCGGGGTGGCGGAGATTGCGAGGATCAGATAGGGCCACATGATGCATGATCTTGATATAGAGCACCAATGACCGAGTACCAAACATTGAGTATCAAAGATGCACCGAGTACTGGTGATTGAACCGAGGGCCGAATACTGAATATCAAGTATCCCAGGTAGGATCACAGAGTCGATGATCCATACCGAGGACAGGATCTCCAGGATCGTGGACCGAATGCCACGGAAGGACCAATTACCGGAGAGAGTTCACCGAGTCTTCAGTACCAAGTACTGACAACGGAGCCCCAAGGACCAAGTCCTCAGACCCGAGTCTGCAGTAATGAGCACTGGGTGCAGTACGGAGGATCAGCACCCAGATGTCCTCGTTACTTGGTACTTGGTAAAGACAGAGCACTGAGGACTGAGCAATCAGACCTGACAGTGCACTGACGAGTGCCGAGCACCGAGCACCAACTGCCAAGCACCGAGTGTCGAGCACTCAGAAGTTCATTCAGGAGGCATTCAGTGCCAGTCTCACTACCGAGGAGCAGGACCCGGGAGTCCTTGGTACTCGGTACTCAGTAAAGATAGAGCACCGAGGACTGAGTGATCAGACCCGAGGCTGCACTAATGAGTGCCGAGCACCGAGTACCAACTGCCAAGCACTGAGCGTCGAGCACTCGGAAATTCATTCTGGAGGTATTCAATGCCAGTCATCAGTACCAAGGAGTGGGACCCAGGACCTGGAGTCTTCGGCTCTCAGTACTTGGTAAAAAGTGCTGATGGGTCGGTCCTCAGTGCTCACTCTGTATGTGGGACTCGGTGATTCTGTACATTTGAATATGTCTACAGTATATACATGCTGGCGTGCTGAAGCATAACAGCCTTCCTATGGATCCCAATCATTCCTGCAATCCATTTCCGCACACCTCCCTGGCTCACTGCAATCGGGTGAGGATACCAGTGTACATTTGTATCTCACCCATCTTATCTCTGATGCCCTCCCGCTGTTCTTCGATCAATATCACCAATCGTTCTCGGATCCACCAAAGTCCCATAAGAGATGGGATGGAGGTTTGATCCACTGTCTCCAGAAGAATCAGACCATCATCCTCAACACCGCCCTGGATGTTTTGATTCATCAACTGTAATTAAAATGGTACTTGGTGCTTACCAGCCAGTGCTCATAGTGGAATCCACAACACTCCATGACCCGATTCCATCGCCAAGGTTCGTTTGGAATGGTGGTGTGCCCCATCCACCACAGAGTATCATAGTCTGGAATGATGTGTGAGGGATCGCCGGGAGCTGCACAATCTTGAAGCCGACCCAGATGAGCTGCGAAGACATGGTCCGGAACCTCGGTCCAGCTTTGCTGCGGGATCAAGAGCAGCAGATGAGCGATGGGGATTGGCATGACCAAAATGATGTTGTGTGCAGCTGAGTACTGCAGGACCGGTGTCACAAAGGTCTGTCAGCGATGTCAGAATTGACTACAACGTAGACATCATTCACTGCTCACCGAGATCTCCCATTGAAGCCCAGTTTTGAAGTGGGTGATTCATGCACACAGCAAATCCATTTCAGCTGCCTCTTTCTGATATTGAGCAACACATGCTTGGATACTGTGATGCAGCCATCGCCAATGTAGCTGCAATATCTGTGGTGCTGAGAGTGATCGGCTGATAGGGAAGATCTCTATCTTGGCTGGCAGAAGTCGATGTACCACGTGGATGTGAGTCAGACATATCCGATGGAAGAGTAGACACAATTGAAATAAGAATAACAGTAGTTCAGGGCGTCAAAGTATGAGTGGCAATAACAATGACAGTGGTTCAGGGTGTAGATATGCAGGCAGCTGATGGATGGATGACATTTTCAAACTCCACCATCATTCCCATGACACAACCGAACACTGGGCCACACAATGATTCACATTACTAGGATGTATGCTGGAAATCCATGGTGGTTAATATTCACTCATCTTTGGGATATATTGGCATCATCGTAAGATCCTGAAAAGCAGCTTGCACATCCTGTGCAAGCAATGAGTACATTCAGGATTGTCTTGCCATGTAGCAGGCATGACCCTGAAGCCGGCTGTCCGATGGACTCCCTCATATGCGCATCCCATTGGGCTGCTTTGCATGAGAAGAAGTTGCATGTCTAGTCCATCTCCAGTTCCACCATGGTAAGTTCTTTAATCCATCGATCCCTCAGAGCCTTCACCCGAAACCAATGAACTCGGTAAACTTCACACCGGTTGGGTCAGATCATCCTCGCATTTGGAAAGTATGCCTGAACTCACATTCGTCATTCCACGACTCACTCAGCCCTGATAAATCAATGTCGAGAGACCAGAACCAGGAAAGGGACTCATTCCACTGACCTCGGGCATTTGGATCACCGACTGCAGTGCTGATCTTGAGCTGTTCTTGGAGCAGAGGTTGGTATTTCTGAAGCTGTTGCTGCCCCAGACCAAGTTTCATCATTTGCTTCCTTGTCCTGTTGTATATACTGGCATTCAGAGACATGGCCTGCTGAACCAACATCACCTGGGACCATGCCCGAGTCTTCAAAGCTTGCAACTTCGCCTGCCTAACTGGTGGTTCGGAAAAGGACCGCCTTGTTGCACAAGTGTATTCGGAGATTGTGAAGGGCATCATTGGCCTGTCCTTCATGAAGCGACATCTCCAGCGGAATCAGATCTTCTGCTAAGCAGTGTTGGAGTCGGTCCAGCCCGACATTGGATGGCAATGGGATGACAGCGAGCTTGGGGGTGTTTGGGTAGGTATCAAGAGTCTCGGTGAACTCATCTGGGCCATCATCGAGATCATTGAGAATTGCACAACTCAAGTCCTCTGGATCTTCATCACTATCAAATCCATCTCCGAAATGCAGGAGAGCGGACCAAGTGAATCCATCGATCTGTCCCTGCACCCGATTGCATTGATGGGCGATGTCTAATCTCTGTGTCTCGGTAGGTCTTTGTCCGATTCTCCGGACCTCAATGAGCAATGCGATCTGAGCTTCTTCAATCGCCAATCCCATGGATATCCATGTTGCGACCAATCAGCAGGAAAGTGATGCATGACGAGCATCATTCTCCTCCAGTAATCTCAGCTCAATCTCCTTCTTGCTCGGTGCTGCAGATGCCATAAGTTCAAACACTTTGATGTCCATGGAATGATCTCACCCTTCCGGATATTGATCTCATATATATCCATCACAGTGGGATCATGTATTCTGTTCGACTGTGTGACCCTTTCACTCGCCAACCACACAGTCTTTGAACTTTCTGGTGCCCCCTCATCGAGTCTATCAAATGCCTTCCCACTTTTGGCAATGCCACACTTCGCCCCTTTGAATTTCCGGCAGAGCATCCTTTTCATGCGAATCATCTTGCAAAAATTGGAATCGTTCATCTGAAAATCTAGACATTCTTTTCTATGTGGCGACGACATTCCCCGAGCGGAAGGAGATATGAGGTTGAGGGGGGCCCACAGGGTCTCCATGATCTCTCCATCAATGCGACCTATGCCTTCGATGAAGTTCGACACATATCTCACATAGCAGCTGTCCTAATGTCCATGGATATGCCAAAGCCCAATTCTGAGAACTATGGTCAGCTCCGGAACCATTGTCAAGAATGGACCTCGATCGACCCAAGTGCGAAGATGCTTGTTGTATTGACAGTTGATGTTGTAGAAGGTGATGGCCCTGGTGATGCCTTTCATGTTGTATGCCACAGCTTCACATAGGGCATAATCCATGTTCATCTGTCTGAAATTAATTCGTGGTTACTTCCAGGCCATGGAATGGTGATTTTCACTGACCTCTCGCCTTTCTGAAAATCTACGATTGAGTGGGGAACAAAACAGCCATGTCAGGGCACAGGCCACCCCCCCAATCCCGTGGACTCCAGCTTGTGCCGAGCCGCATTCGCTTGATTGACAGCTCGATGGTTGTTGCAGCTCGACCTTTCCAAAGTATCGGTAGCTACTGCAAGATGCCTCTGGTACCTGTCCTTTCCAACCATAAATCCAAATCCATCGGACAACCATACTTCATCGTCTGGGTTGATTGGATGCAGGTGTTCCGCTTTGAAGTTCCCATCCATCACGAATGACCTGGTGTATTTCCAGCTTGAAGTTGTTAATATCCTCATCCTTGATTGCATATTCACAATGACTCACTCATCAAGTGATTCTTCTGTCGTCAGAGATAGATTAATGCCAGGCTGAGGACATGCCGGGCAGAACAATGCTAGGTCCCCTGGCTCGCGGTAGTTGGAATGATGGCTGAAGCCATGCCACTTCATGTTCTTCAAGTGTCGCCACTGCCGGGAGACCCTCATGAGCTCTCAGGTATCGATCCTGCCCACATCCGCTGTGAGTATAAACATCCTTAGAAGGTATAGACTGTCCCCTACGAGCACGAGGTGTGGAAATGTGCTCAAGGTCATTCGCCAAAGCTTGTTGTAATAATTCATTGCCGAGGTGCCACATTCAAGGTTGTCCAGCAGAAAATCATCAAGAACGCTGAATGTGAACAAGGTCTTCGGCCTGTTGAAAGATGCAGCGAACAAGCCGTGTCGAAACATTTGAATGTCCGGACTCATTGCATTGGGACACCCGCAGCATCGCACCTCAAGCCAGTGGACTCCGGACCTGTCGACGATGACCATGGTATTGTCCTTCGGCTGGAACTCGGGGCCCAAGACAGATGGTAAATCTTCCGGTTTGATGTGGTCGTTGGATTCATCTTCTTGAAACAAATCCCACTTATCCATGAGAACCGGACATTGCTTTCCCTCATGACTGAGGTGTATCACGAGTCCGACATGAGCGAGACAACTTTGCTCGAAGAACTGACCATTCCACTGACTGATCCAGTGGAAGGGATTGCATCGATGTTGACTCCTGCAGCAGCCCGTGCAATACAGCGGCTCCCCAAGACAATCTTGACATTTGTATACCCCATCCTGATCACAGATGGAGCCCCTCCTATTTGCTGGGGGAGCTTCTCAATTGAGGAGGTGATGGAGATATGATTCCTGCTTCGGCAGCCATTGCCTAATGTAATCGTTCTGACTCTGCATTGAATTCATTCAGCCATGTTTCGATCGACCGTGCAACATCTTCAATGAACTTGCCATGGTTTTCGGCAGGTGCAAGGGCTCAAATGATCCTTCGTTGAGCTCATACACATCATTGGCGATGTCTTCCCACAAAGGTGGAGCCTGAGCAGGATTGAGTGTCGGTGATTCCAGGGGGGATGGAGGCATGCACCTGCTGGCACATTTCATCACACTAGCCAGTGGGACCTTGACCCATGTCTTCCTACCTTTCCTGCCCCTTGCTTCCACCCTGTATGATTTCTGCACAGGGGTCGATACAGTGATCTTCATCTGACTTCTGATGTCATTGGCTGAAGTTTCAGCTGAGGGAGGTCAAACAATTTGTGATTCCATTATGGGGTCATCCAGTCTTGTTGTAGGCTTATTATGAATTCATTTGGAATGCAAGGCAGTGCGTCCGAAATTCATTGATGAACCAAGATGTAAGGTTTGCTCAGATTTGAACTCAGGACAATTATTTCTTCAATGTTGCCTCCCATATGTGCATCCTGCACTCCATTTTACATCCTGCACTCCATTTTACCATGGCTAGATTGGGGGATTCCATTCACTTCTCGGACAGAAGACACGGACGACGTTTACAACTGAGACAAAAGCTCATGGAACAAGAGATCTTAGAACTCAAAAACTACCTTCCTGAGTGGACTGCTGCAAAACGGCACAAGAAACCGGGAATATTCACAGCCATAGCTCGAGCGGCAAGGTTGTTTTCTCCGAAGCTCGACCATGGACAATGGAAAAAGAGGAAGCAGGTGATGCATCTATGCAGGTTGAAACCTCAATGTTTTCAACACTGATTGTTTGTTGTTTGCTCAGATCTATAAAACCTGGTTGTTCAACAACAAGAAAAAGAAGGAAACCAAGGACATGATAAAGTATGGGAGGAAATGGACCCCTAGGATGGTGGTCTATCAGCAGAACAGAGATGACGTGCTCAAGAGGATCGAGGTGGAATACAGGGCGAAGCCAGGAGCTCCAGATATGTTCAAGTATTACCAGGCGACTGTCTGGAAGGTGATGGAAGAATTGTCGGATGAAGAGTTGGAGAAGGCAAAAGAAACAGCCGACGAATGGTCCAACAACATTCCTCCTCCCAAGATCCAAGCGCAAGTCGCTGGTAAGAAGGGACCCGCATACATGGAGCACTTCTCCAACTGAGATGTGGAGACAATGTGGGATGAGAGTGTTTGTATTGTCCGCCTGGAAGAATGAGCAGGGACAGGTGCTATTTGGAACGTAAGTGCATTGCAAATGTCATGCTAGACCTGATATCTCAACAGATTTCCCATAGGCACGATGATAATGAGGCATTGGGAGATGGGGACAGCTTCATGAAGACAAAGGACTGGGAGGATATCAAACCAATGTGGCAGGAGTATGCACAAGCACAGTTCAGTGAGTGTTTCAGCTATTGGGATGGGGAAGGGTGACATTGATGGTTCCTGTGATGCAGTTGATATTTGGTGCTCAGTCATCAGTAATAGGCCGCTGGTATTTGATCGGCGGTGCTAAGTCGTTGGCAATCAATCATCGGTACTCGGTCATCTGCATTTGATGGTTGATGATCTGTGTATTGCACAGACTACATGGTCATTGTTCTTGATACTCAGTACTCTCGGAGGATTCGGCTGACTACAATGACATGATGTGGTATGATGCAATTACTTCCCTGCCCTCGCTCTAGTGACTCTCCTAGGAATATCTAATGACCGACGATCGACTGCCAAAACCCGGCGGCACTCGGCAATTGGCGTACAGGACTTCATCATCAACGGTTGTTTTTGTGATTGTTCGGGCTTGGGCATCAGTACTCAGTAACCGATGCTCGACGATCACACTTCAATGCACAGAGAATCGAGATCTCAGTTGTCAGTTGATGTTACAGCTGTGTCGTTCTATGAACTTCTTTTCTTCTTTCCCTTGATCCACTGCTGACTAGGCATGACTCTTATTGTTCTATATTTAGTTCGGTATGACTCAGACGCCTCATTGCTTACACATGTAGCTTACTGATCATTACCTATTATTATGTCATACCCTGTACCCTGTTTACTATATAAACCCTGGCTAGGTGACGCTGAATCTTCAGTTTAACCTACTGCTAGATTTCCTTTGATCATTCTGACTTGGTTCTAAGTTACCTCTTCAGGTGAATCTACGACTTTGAGCATTTCGATGCTCGCCCACTCAGCCCTCTGCATCCTTCGAAGCTCCTGATCGGCCTGTGCCAGCTTGTCGGATGTCTCCGCCCAAGCAGTTCGAAATGGTTCGCTCTGCCTCCAGGAGCTGCGGTATGGACAGCTCTGGAAGGTTTCCATGAGTAGTTGTGAAGTCGGCCAGTCGTGTTTGAAGATTCTGCACTATAATAGCAATGAGAACGATGTGCTGACATAGACCTGCAATTAATACTCACATCCCACGTCATGATATGACCCAAAAGGTTGGAACTCCCGAACCATAGCTTGGAGCTCTTTGTTGTCGAGGGCCGGAGGTGCCGGAAGGCATTTGGCATTGGGTGGATTCACTGATGGAGTCAATCAGGTATGGAAGGCCTGGTGTCATGAAGCACTTACAATATTCCATGGGTTCGTCAGACATCTCTTCCGGCCCAAGGTATAGTGCCTGGACTGATGGCTTGGCTCAGGGGGATCACTGCTCGCGCGGTGGGACGGCTTGGGCGCACCAATCCCACCATCGAAGTCATCTTCTGGGCTGAGATATAGCTCCTGACTGATGTGCGGGGGCATGGATTCGTACTCTACCTCATCCTCCAGCCCAAGATACAAGTCATCTGATGGCATGTGTTAACAAATAGAAGCATGTAGGAAGACATCTTACCGAACATCGGCTGTTCCTCCCTCATCCACGGATCTGTTGAGCTTGTCGATAATTGTGCTTGACTAGCATCGTCGATGTCCATTTCGATGATGTCAGTCACCGGTGGTTCCATGAATTGCACTGTGGGGTGAGAGTGCATTGGGCTTGATGGTCTAACTGATCCACAGATCTCACAATTTGATCCTTGAAATGAGTGGATTATTCGCAAACTCCCGAAATGTGAACATTGTGCAAATAATCCACAACAATGAAATATTTATTGACCGAAGTTCAATTGACTTGTGTCTTTGTAAAACTGCTTCCTTGCCAGCTGTTACAGCATTTCATAACTTTTATTATTGATCTCTATATCCTCGATGTCTAACCAAGCCGACAAGTCCATGGCCAATCTCAAGGAGATCACTGGCCAACTTCTCACGATTGTCCGCGCTGCCCGGCAAATTCCCCCTGGTCCCAGTCACTTCGCTCTGGCGACACAGGCAAGTGAATTAGTGGTACGTATATTACATCAAAGACATATTTTATATGATCGCTCATCTCCTATCAGGCAAGGGCAGTCTAGGATCATGGCGAGTCCGCATGCCTCCCTGGGCTCATCTTGTCTTGCTCAAGAGAGTTGATCCAGACTCGCAACTGTTCTCCACAGGAGGCCCCGAACTGGCGCAGCATCGGCCATGACGACCCTCGACTCATGCGGCACAGCTGGTGCAGCAAGGCCCTCACCTGGCAAGCCTTGGGCAACCACTTGTTCAATCTCGCACACGAGGTCGATGGTAGTGCCACTGACAATGCTCCCGGTCCATGAGCGTGGATGGTGATGCTTTGGAGAAGGGGAAAGGGAAGGTGAGGGAAGTGGAGCCGGAGCCGGAGAAGGAGAAGGAGATGGAGAAGCCGAAGGAAGAGCAGGAGAAGCCATGCAGGAAGCGGCCTTTCTCCTGGATGTCGAAGCCACTCCCAAAGTCAGTGATGAAAATGCCGAAGAGGGGGAAGTCAGGGCAGGAGTGGAAGTCGAGAGAATTGGTGGATTCATCGGACGAGGAGGAGGAAGAGGACGGGTTGTCAAAGGTACACTTTGTTTTTTCCGTGATGACCTTTATTCATGCAGTGGTGTAGCCCCGTTCTGACACATCCTCTGTGATTGTGACTCGGCGGGTTTCTGCCGCCCAACCATCAAGGCCGTCCGGGCCTCCCCGATCATCTCATTTCTAATGTCTAATTCCGGCTCTACCTTCAATAGAATTGCTATTGTTGCCCCTTTTGCAGGCCTGAGATGTTTCCCGCAAGGGTGCGGCTTCAAGCAATGGACTGGAGACAATTCAAAAGCGCTTATGAAGGTACGTGTACCTTTACTTTTCACCTTAACGAAGCTAAAATCTATCACATTTATATTGCAGCCATTGAGGGACATGTCCCAGTGGATATCATATGCACATTCCATGCATTTCTTGAATTTTGTTACATTGTACAGAAGAATGCTATAACTGAGCACACGCTGGAGAAGCTGCAAGATGCTGTTTCCCATTTCCATCATTATTGCAAGATTTTCCTGGAAAGTGATACTATATCTACATTCTCTCTACCACGACAACACTCTGTCTCTCATTACCTGCAACTCATCTGACTCTTTAGCACTCCAAATGGACGCTGCTCATCTATTACAGAAAGCAAACACATTAAGGCTGTTAAAGGTCCGTGGAGGTGATCGAGCAAATATCAAGCACTCGGTCAAATGCTTGTCACAAATCAACGGCTTGATAAACTCACTGCCGCACGAGTCAACTTCACCAGCCATGGGATGTTAAATGGAACTTGCCTTTCAGCAGCCCTTGAAGCCCTTTGTAAGTTCTAAACCTATTTTCAGCCGCTTGAAACCTAATTTTAAATCCCATAAGTACAACAAGACGGACCAAGTCACCATGCACCTGCTAATGATGCAATGGATAATGCTCAAGATGAAAACCTCGATGTGTCTGTTCCTGAAGATGATATTGATGGTGTGGATCATGGCCCGACAATTCTGCAAGCGCATACACGATTAGCACAAACCACATGCAAGTATATTCCCTTGTTTTTGTGTGTCAATGTCTGATTTGATTTTGCATGCAGAGATGAAGCATGCACACACCGTTTTGGCTCTCACTGAAGAGCTGAACATCCCCCGTCTACCTGAGATGGTCTGCTGCTTTCTCTTCCAACAGACATGTCCGGATGATCCACGAGATGCATCAGAAATTCCTATCACAGGATGCCCTCGATATGAGGGCAAAATATCGGTATTCAACTCTGCATGCTCTCAGTTCTATGCCCCAAGCGACCTAAGTGGGATCGGTGGAATGCATATTGAGCACATTTGTGCTTGTCCCATGTGGCGGAATGAGGCCCCTCGTTATGACTGTGTTTTCATCAATATTGGGTCAGAAGATGTGGGCATTCGAGGACTTGAAGTTGCAAGGATTCATATGTTCTTCTTGTTCAATTATGGAGGAATAACTTACCCATGCGCTGTCATGCGCTGGTTCAATATCATTGGAGACTCGCCTGATGAACATACTGGTATGTGGATGGTCCATCTGGCCTGCAGCACTAACAATGCACCTATCTACAACATCATACATGTTGATTCAATCTATCATGCGGCTCACCTTATTCCTGTCTATGGCAGATGATTTCTTCACCGCAGTATCAATCTACATAACTCATATGACAGATTTCGTACATTCTATGTCAATAAATATGCTGATCATCATGCTTTCAAGCTCACATCATAGACATTTGCACTTATCTTTGTCACTTTAATCTAATTAATCGCATTTTTGAGCCTTATCATCTTTTCCCCTTGGACGACTTGAAAGAGCTTAAGCTAAATAACTCTTTGACCAACTTGTTGTGCCTTGGCGCGCATTTGTGAAGTTGCCTGAAAACTAAAGCTTAAATAAGCCGCTCAAAGTCAAATAAGGAATCTTGGGTTTTGCTGATGTGTGGTAATGGAGACATCCCACGCTACTGCTGATGAAGGCAATATGTTGGGTCATTTGACTGCCCCTAATACTGCTACAAAACGGAATCCAGCGGTTGATATCGGTGCAGCTCCTCGTGTATCAAAGCAAATTCCAATCAAGTCCAGGTGGAATGATGTCGCTGACACTATCGGGTCAGATGGTTCAATGTTTGTTGGCATTGGTAGGGAAGATCCACCTGTTCTGGAGGATGTTGGGGCATCAATGACGAAGCGTCCTCCCAACTCGACTATGGGCAGCATGATTCCTGCAAAGTACGTCCAAGACATCTTAGTATATTCTCACTTTCTCAATGCTAACGGGCACAGGAAAAGGCAAACGAAGGCATGAGCCCATGTCTTTATGTCATGATCACAAATTTGCTTCTGATACCATAGTAATGTTTGATGCTGTTAGTAACACATGTAGTCTCTGTTTTTCTTGTGATGAATACAGTTGTGTTGTCAATTTAATCCCCTTAATAAGTGGTATATTGAGTGCGCTTGTACTTGTAAGGTTCGCCAGAGGTAGAATACAGCTAACTGACTGAAATTTATGAGATACAAGGTGTACATACTACAATCAATCTCTGAAGGTCGAGAGTGTAAACTAGTACATCATATGTTGGCTCCAGTCTGTGCGCTCACAAGTAATAGTTGGGACAGACATCACTGCTTCAGCTGTGTACATCATGGTGGGGTAAACACTATGGGAGAATATCAGTTCATGCAGCCTGAGACTACCACTTACTTATAGTGTGCTGAGAATGACATAAGGTCAGGTAAACATTGAAGTGCCTCAAGACACTTTGAGAATGTGCAATTGATACGGGGTTCGAACTTTGGAGTGTCACAGACCTGTGCTTGAAAGCGACCATGCTGAATGATGTCTAACTCGCATATGAAGGAGAAGTCAAGAAAGGATGCAGTGGTAAGTTCAGCATGTAGCTGTGGGCCTGCTACAAGAGGGGTCCGTGCGCAGCATATGGCAGCGAGCAGGTGGCAGTAGCGGGATGTGGACCCATATCAACCATGTACAACTGTATGACACTTCCCTTTTTTGACGGTTTGATGGATACTGATGGCGGGGCTGCCAGAAGGATCCATGTGGAGTGTATGGAGGTGACCAGGTGGCGGTGGGATGTGGACCATACTGGGAGGTATTGTTGATCATGTACGAGCATGGGATGCTTCCCTTTTTTGAGAATGTTGATTTGATGCATTAAGTACTGATGCATCACTATTGCTTTGCTCCCCACTGTAGCATTGATGCATCACTGCAGTGCTGCAACTGCAGCAAATTGTTGCATCAAAATGACACGGATGCCTGAACTGCTCATACTCACGCATGCATATATATCACTGCAGCCTCTGCAGTTTTTACTATGCCAGCAAACTTTGGGACAATTTTCACTGGCAGCGTCACTGGCAGATATTGATGTTGTCAAAGCAGCAATAACGGCGAGGACAAAGGAGAAACGCATTGTTGGTGAGGATGTAGTATGGGATCAAATAAATCTGAAGGGGACAGTAGGAAGACGGCTTGCTTTTATGTGTTGGATGTTGTCCTGGCAGAGCTTCACGGTGATGTAGGAAGAACCCATTTACCTGAAAATACTAAATGATCGCACTGCCAGCAGATTGCCACCTAAGATATCGAGAACTTGGTTCATACGACATGGCCCTACGGGCACCCCTGAACCCGACAGACGGCTCAGATCCGTTGCTTTGGATTCTTTTTGAGTTACCTTCTCAACTGAGGTGTGCTGCAAGGCCTTCAAGTTGGATTTCCAGTGTTCATAGACATTCGCAATAAGTATTGTCCTGATACTTGCCAGCTGTCGACAACTACGTTTACCTGGGGTCCTATCCACACACCAATCAACCACTCCTTTACCTCTCCCTGTAATTCCACTCGTAGTCCCTCACCCATTCCTCAAACAACACTTCCTCCGAGTCCTTGCACGACGTAGGTCACCCCAACGCACATGAAGTACCATGAGCTGGGAAGTGAGAGTGGAGGGTGTAAAATATTACTTGTACCGGTGTTTAGAAGTTAACGGCGCCGTAGGACATTGACTGACAACTTGGGGGTCTTACGGATTCCTGTGCAGATGCAGTTCATCCAGGGGCTATCTATCATGCCAGTTCAATTTTTAACTGCATTTCCTTCCATGCTAACAGAATTCGATGTTGTAGACTGCAATTGTCTGTAGGCAGTGACAGAGACATTATTTGCTAAGCATCCTGATAGTCACAACAGTTTAAAGTGGTTTCCATTGAAGAGATCATTTCTCCAACACGTCCCAGCTTCATTTTGTCTCTTATGGACTAGAGAAAAAGTGTTGTGCCTTTTCAAAACACATATATCCTATGCCTTTTGTGAGTGCTTCGATACCGGAGTTGCGGAATCAAGCACGTTAATCAACAAACCGGTACTAATAATTCACGTGTCATGCCATCAAACCATACTGCACCGATGCGAAAGCAGGGGCAGGACTCACTGTATTTCACTGTTGCAATATGCCACTCACATGTGTATACAAAACCAGATGAACTATCATGCCAGTGAGTGATCTGGTTAAGCACAAGATGCAAACTACTTATACTCATGCATTCGTCCTTAGTGCAGCAGGCTTGCTTAAAGCAAGCTGTAGGACATTTTTCAATGTCAGGGTCACTGACAGGTATTGATGCTGCAGATATTGATGATGTCAAAGCAGCAACAATGGCAAGGACAAAGGAGAAATGCATTGTTTGTGAGGATGTGATATTGGATCAAATAAATCGAAAGTAGGGAAGAGAACTTGCCTTTATGTGAAGAACCTATCCACCTGAAATCCTCTTTTGAACAGATGTTACCTAAGGTAGACTTCATGCAAATCCATCCAATGTCATGTGCCCCAGTGTTACATTTGCATGATGAAGTTGAGAAGTTCAAAATGACTCTGATAGATGCAGGAAACATAAAAGTAATCTATGTAACATAAAGGAAAGACTGGTATATAATTTATCTATTGAGTCAATCAGTGCTACATGGAAGTGGTGAATAAATTTTGAATTTTGAAAGTTTGTGTAGGCTCAACTATGAGTGGAGAAAAGGCTTGAAGTCTGATAGAAATCCAGTGCTGGATGCCACCGGTGCTGCATGCATTACATGAGCCGAAGCTCATTTCATCAATGGGGAGGCGAAAGCACTGTCACAAAGCACAGATCAGCAATCTTGCAGTTGCATGGGAGTCAAAAAGGGCAAGACAACATGGAGATGGCACTGGCCACTCACAGAATGCAAATGTGAGCACTCTGTCCTGTTATAGGTGGTGAAACACTGACTGTCCACTCGGGAATAGAGAATACCCACCAATTCCAATGCTATACCCCCCCAGTAATGACGAGTCTTGCCTTTGAACACTGTCTTCCATGCTACCGACTCAAACATTAATATTGGTATTGATCTATCATAGATTTTCGATTCAGTCTCGACACTTTATTGATGCTTACCGAAAGGGTCTAAATGGAGAGCAGGCAGCTTGGGCAATCAAGAAATACCATGGTCATCGAGTCCTTCCTGAACATATCATGCATGATTTTGATACTAATCTGACTCAGAATAATTCAGCTTCCTAATAGCTTTATATCTCTACTCTTAATCTTACATATATTCACTGCAGTTGTAGATACATAATCATACTCGTCATGCTATGTGCTTGACCGACTGCTTCAATCGGAAGTAGAGCTGATCATGAGCAAATTGACGGTCCAGCACTGGATTACCTAAGCATTGCCAAAAGCGGAGGAGGCGCGTCTGGCGGAGGTGGTGGTTCCACCTGGGTAACACCTATTCTCACGCTTATTAGTAACGAATATAGCATAGCATGTATGTTACTAACAAGGGGGGGAAAAGCTCTGTCGCAGCACTTCAGCAATACCCGCAGCACTCAGCAGTCCCTTGGGTAAAATAAATAGGGCAGGGAATATTCAGATATGATAAGGGAATTATCTAGTCTTATCTACTGATTAGATTGGTCACAGCTATCTATTTGTCATCCCCCAGATAGGAACAATTGATACCACTACACCTCCGGACACTTCCCACGCCGTTCTCTCTCAACCTCAACGTCGTCAACAACGATGAGCTCAATATCTCCCTTGTCCCTAGCTCAAATCCCATCGCTCTTTCGGTGTTTGTGCTCCTGGTGGATGCCCGATCCCACTGCTGACCTCCCCCGCGATCTCACACCCCTCCCTTGTGCGCTATGTCGCCCTGGCGACCTCGTGTTGATCGGACCTTACGTCTGCCTGCAACATGCACTTTTTTATCCCTTTCCCCCGTGTACAACATTCACCACCACCACCATGGGTCCCACAAGAAAACGGATGTCGACATCGTCAAGGGTTACTATGACTCTTCTCGATAGTAGCTCCATGACAGTGCGCACCACCAGATCATCGCTCACTCAGATACGCCAGCAGCAGCTTCTCAGAGCAGACCAAGAACACCACGCTCGAGGTACGTTTAATATTCTCACAAAGGTTCATTGCTCACCATGATTAGAAAAAGCCCAACGCATGCAAGAATTGCTTGCTGAAGCTCAGTTGGAAGCTGGGCGTGAAAACATCAATAGCATTGACTTTGGAGAAAACGCATTCGATACCAGTGATTATGTAGATGTTCCCAACGACGACGACACTGACGAGCCTGTTGGTGGCCCCCTTCTATCCGAATTTTTCAAGACATTCTCACAAGAACGGCAAGTCAATGTTTTTTTTCGTTATTCAGGTATCTAATGTACATTGATAGGGAGCCTGGTGTCTACAGGCGCGTTGATGTGCGGACCAGAGCACAGCATCACCAGTGTGCTTATAATGCTTGGAAGGACCAGATGCCCGCCCTTGTGGATGCTTACTTGGTGTGGAAGCATAACGCGCCCAGCGATGACGGCAATACTGTGGCGCCTAACATATTCCATGTCGACATTGTCGGAATTGCAGGTAAGCCGATTCTTTTTTTAATATAAGGCCCTGAGTTACTAACCAACATCAAAAGACTTCGAATGTGCTGTCGCCATTCAACAACATACTGATGAACTCACCAACACAGCTCTTCTTCGTGCGGGACTTATCGGATGCTCCCCACTACAGCCGTCTATTGCTATTCGCATAGAATGTCTTGAACTATATCATCAACTACGACGACGCCAGTCCTCACTCAGTATCCAAGCCATTACCAAAGTGCTGTGCGCGCTTCACAATGTAAGATTTGAAGGCTATTTTATATTATTATTTCGGGCTCACTTACTGCACAGGTAACATATTTTCGACAGCGTCGTGAGCAATTTTCCAATGCTTTCGACATCTATTTGCAAATCTTGGGGCAAGTTCGGAGTCGTGTTAACCGCCTCCTGGGCAGGGACCCTGACCAGTGGCAGTTGAATGGTGCTTGCCCTTCTTGCACGTTCAGGGCAAGTACTTTTCTATCAAGATCATAATTTGAATTGATCGCGTACAAACATTTAGCAACTGGATGAACCAACATTATCGCCGGCACGCCTCCATGCCATGGATGGTAATTTTTCGGCGAAGCGATTGGATGGTTCTGGATCTGCAGATCCAAGAATATTCCGGAGCCGATATTTCATTTCCGAGGCACAAGTTGATCAATTCAAGGCTGATGTTCAACGTCACTCTGGTGGACGCTCTGTGGCAGACTCGACAACAGGTGCCTGCACAGAAAACTGGACCGCAGCAAAGTCTTTCGAAGAGAACAAAATCACTGTGTTCGATCAGACTGGGATTTTTCTTCTGGCATGTCATCATGGGATCATCGAGGTCGTAAGTGAGATGAAGCGCAGTGGTGAAGCTGTAAGCTTTGATTTATCGCATTACTCATCACTTAACTAACTGTTCGTTGATAGCGCAAAGTATGGTCTAGCCATTGATTGATCGACTGCTAGATGTCTGCGGTGCTGACCAAGCAATTGGACATGACATCGCTTGCTCGTCCCGAAAAACAATCGCATCAAGCTCCATTGGAGCCAAGGCGGCCGAACTCAAATTACAGGTTGTCGTAAATGCGTTCCATGGGTTTTCCCATGACCGCCAGTTGTCAACTGCGAAATCACCCCTTATATTTGAATGGCCTAGGTCTCGAAGACCTTGAAACTTGCGAGCGTATCTTTGCGAGTTCGAACAGCGCTGCAGTACTAATCAGACATGCATCACCCTTCCATTGGATGCAATATCTCGACCTTCATTTCGATCAGTGGGACGTGGACAGGTATACCGAGCTGAGTATGTGTATCATTACAAATCATGGCATCTCTGACTGTTTTAGGTGCTTTTTTATATAATAATTATGTCCAAGCGCTTCAGATTATCAAGACCAACATGCCCTTGCTTGACGAGTTTAAGCGTGTTCAGAATATCACTGACCTGGACTTCGTAAATTGGCGAAATGAGGAGTATGAGTACCTCAGTCAAGTTGCCGTGGAACCTGCTTCGGATGCCGTCGCGGTTGCTTATGTGGAACAGCTGGAGAAACTTCGATTTGCAGAGTTCAGTCTCTGCACCTTGTTATTTACTTATGTCTCATCATGTGTTTTAGAGAGAATTATGGCAATGCCACATCTATACCCTTTCTGACGTACACTCCTGCCAATTTCACCAATACCTCCGGTCTCAATTCCAATGCGCGCAACACTTCCAAGGCCTTTGAAACTGACTACGCCTCTGCGCTACGCAAGTACTGAGCTTCAATTGAACGTTGTTGAAAATTTCGAGCAGCAGTCATGGCATCCGAGAGCGGTGGACACCGCACCACCCAGACTATGTGAAAGCAGCGCAATATTCCCAGGAAAGGCAATTTATTCAGTTGGTTGAAGAGTTGGAGGGTTTGGTTGTTCGGCGTCTTTTCGAGATGTCAAAAGCCAATCTCGCTGGCACAGGTAGGTGCTTATATCTCGAGATAAGCAGGTGTAATTCATGGGCTGCATAGGTTACAAGATGCGGAAGTATATATCAAAGGCTGATTACACGACGTTCTGCCGCCATCAGAACAGCCTTGGACAGGTACAACAAACTGGCTGCCCTTACAAGATCCACCATGTCCTATCCTTGACTACTCCGAAGTGGTCGGATACGCTTGCCTTGGTGAATTCTCACTTTTAAAGCACTCACACCATCAAATCCTCACCAAGCCATGGTTGGTATCTGCCAATCGTGAGATGGCTGCAAAGTACTTCAAGTTGGTGCGATCACATGAAGAGATCGTTCGCCTCAATGTCGAAATCAAGCGCTTACAGAGCTGGGTCGAGCACGAGGACAGGAGCATACTGAACGCCATTGATTCCCTTCTCGCTGATGACGCAGAAGCTTTGCTTGTAGCTGAACTGAAGGAATTTCACGCCAAGTGCCACTGCATCAACACTAATCATCACAAACACCTTCAAAAGATATACGCACTTGAGGGATATACAGGTGAAAGGGTGCAAACGATTGTTCACTCGACGGTGCCGGACGGAGACAAAGATGATGGGCAGGATGACGAAGTGAATGAGGAGGCAGTAAGGCTTGAGGATTTGGTGTCGCATCTCACATTGTAAATTTTGTACTATCAATTCCATACTTTCATTTGCTCCCTTAACGTTTAATGCCCATGGAAGCCAGCCAGCGTCAAGTTGTGGCACTCACATCGTTTGTACGATATTTGAAAGACGGCAGACAGCAGACGAGCCAGGTCCGCCAAACAACTGTTTCAATTGCATGTCCTGGCTGCTCATAGGCCGCACCCATGGAACTTCGAAGGAGCAGAGCCAGGTCCGCTAAACAACCATGTTTTCAATTACATGTCCCGGCTGCTTTATGGCTCAGCGCTCTGGTCTGTTAAACAACCATGTTTTCAATTAGTACATGTCCCAGCTGCTTTATGGCTGCTCTATTACTGTAAGTTAATCATGCTGTAATTACCATTATCTATACCGTCTTTTCTTCAGCTCTTTCTCACTATCCCCACAATGTTGTGCAACTCATCCAACCTCGAAGACTTCCCTGTCAAGCAAGATCCTACTACGAGCCATTTGGATTATCTTGATCTTCATGGTGAAATAGTAAGTCCGCCAATCTTTTGAGTCATTCAACTTGAACATGTTTTGCTTGAAGAAAGATAACTTTGAGATCAAACTAGCTGTCGCCTTCGAGTTCTTCAAAGTACCGGGTCACTTCTGCTCAAAGCCGGCAATGACGACTACTGTCTTATCTTCTTGCCCCCTGGAGAACCAGGCTGAGGTTGCAACGGCCACAGTCATTCATGACATCTTGCTCCATCGGCTTGCTCCACTCATCCGTGAGCGCTGGTTCTGCTGGGATACAGTTGATCTGCCCGAAAAACAGCGTCAAAGTACGTATAGTTGATGTGGAGTTTTGTTTTGTTCTAATAGTCATGTTTCAGGGATAGCAGCATTGGACCAAAGTCATATCGCCCTCTCTGCGCATCATCAACATGATGGCTTCTTGTTTCAAAGTCCTTCAGACTCACTCAATCTTTCTTCTCTCAATCTTTCTCATGCTCATCAGCCTCACAACGACAGTCTCGCATCTTTCGCATCATCTCCGTTGTTGTCCTTGTGGTCTGATGATATCGGCTCAGTGGGCTCAGTGGATACCACTTTCCTTACCTTTTCCGACCCAGCCTTCACTTCCACACCATTGCCTCAACTGCTGGCACTTCCTGCATCCACAGACTGCGATCTCACTGGAAATGATGTGTTAGCCAGTGGGATTACCAAGCGGCGCACTACAAGGGGTCTCAGAGCGACACCCACTGTCGATTCATCAGAAGGTGCCCTTGTGTCCCTGCCTTCGCGGCCATTCATCTTAGCAAGGCGGTCTCCAAAACCAACTCAATCACCGGCTAAAGTCTCTGCTGCTGGTGCGAAGGGATCAGATAAACAGAAGGTGGGCGTCCTGACCCTAATGATAACTGACACTAACGAACAAAATGCTCAGACTGTTGATGATGTCTCAGCGACACCCACTGTTGATTCTGGTGTACCATCCACAGGCACTCTTGTGTCCCCGCCTTCACGGCCATTCATCTTAGCAAAGTGGTCTCCAAAAACAAATCAATCACCAGCTAAAGTCTCTGCTGCCGGTGCAAAGGGATCGGATAAACACAAGGTGGGTGTCCTAACCCTGGGAAGCACCCTAACGCCTACTGATGCTAATGAAAAAAATGCTTAGCCTGTCAGTATGACACGAGCACGAAATGCAGTGCAAATACAAACAATGCTGCACGGCCATGAAGACAGAGTTTCGGTAACGAACCATTTCTACCTTATGACATCCAATCCAGGCCCAGTTGGGCCAGCTCGCAACGCGGGATATGACTGTATTTGTCGTGAGATTTCCAGTGCACTTGCCGGTCTTACTCTTCACCACTCTACCATGGACGAGATCTGGCGCTGTATCCAACAGATTGAGGGGTACAAAGCTAACTGTTGGACGGCCATACTGATGAAGATGGATATCCCTGAAGATCGTTGTGGCAAACTCATCAGAATCATCAATAGTGCAAGTCGTGACCGTCAGCTTCGTGAGTTGCCACTCGGAGTCTATTTCATTGAATGCCCACTCACATTCATTTAGTTTAGTTTCATTCTGGTGGTTCTGTTTACTCTGTCTTCGCATATATTTCTAACGTTGTTTGTTTGTACCGCACATATTTCAAACTTTGTCCCTGGATCTGCCCAGTATAAAATACTCCTGCCTTACCATGTCTGTTGTGTCAGCATAAGCCCCCTGGACCATGGTTACTCGCCTGACCACTAAGATTCACCGAGCGTGTGCTCAACTAACGGCAGCTCAAAAGGCCCAACAGCGTGTCCATCAGGAACAGCTGGCAGATGACATCGACACTGCAAAACAGTCATATGAAACAGAGGCCGTTGAGATTGCGCAAAAACATGGCCGGTGAGCACCATTTCTTCTCCTCTGGAGTCCGAGCTGGTCCTTTCTCATTGTGGTCGATATTAATATTTTATATTAGTTCGCTCAAGTGGACGAGAAACCAATTGTTTCTCCGTAGTCGCATGTTGCAGCAGAATAGACGTGTGAACTCCTGGAATGCGTTTGTTAAAGCTTGACTTCAGGATGCAAATGAAGGTTAGTCTACAATTTTATGACGGAGTAAAAATAACAATCACATTTTTAGGACTAGGCAGAGGGGATCGCTTCAAACTTACGGCGTTCATTGCGCAAAACAAGGCGAGATTGCTGCGGGATTATGGAAGACTCACCGTCACTGAAAAGAAAGGTTACAACATTCGTGTTCTCGAAGCTCGAGAAGCGAAGAACCATACCGCACGCGCAAACCCTAAAGCCGTCAAACACGATGTGAATGCTGCATTCACTTCAATGGATCGCGAGGTATGTTTTCATCTTGTAATTAGGGTTAACTAAAACTAACTAACTAACCTACCACAGTGGATGGCTCTTCATGCGCGCACCGGTATGGAAGGTTTTTACGTTGCTGTGCGTGGCGGAATCGAGGACCTTGCGGAGCCGAAAGTGTTTTTCACCAAGAAGTCTTAAAAGTTCATTCAGGACGTACTAGGAATCGAGCCGCAGCACCTCGGACTCAAATTAGAAGCCTTCATTATTAGCAAGCTGGGTATGTCTTTCCCCTCAACACTGTATCCTACTAATTATTCCAAAGACGAACGCGTGTCTCTCAACCGTGCACGGCCACTCAACAAACTCATCGGCGAATGTCGCGAGCTTATTCAAGCTGAGCTAGGTACGCGTGCTTTGTGTTATCAAATCTTATTCCATTACTAACATAAATCTTGATTAAGATTTCATTTTGATGGAGAAAAATGTGTCGAGCAAGGTTAAAATGAACTACACTAACTATGAGCGTGCTATCGTCGAACATTATGGCATAGAGCTACACAACTGGCCTCTACCAGGGACAGTAAAAAATCCTTCTAAGGTGGGTGGAAGGGCACATGTTCAGACATTACTAGATGCTCTCAAATCCCATTCGTGCGAGTGGGTCTTGCTCTCGGAGGATGATCTTCGCGACAGGATGAAAAACAACCGAGTACGTCAGGCACGTGGAGAGCAAGTTTATGTGCTGAGGAAAGCAAGGGCACGTGCATCACTGCAGCACACGAGCAAAGAGACTGTTGACAGCAATGAGTCAAGCTCAAGCTCGAGTTCGGACGAAGATTAGTATCATATGTACCTTCTGTACACATTGACAATGACATGAATCACCGAGCGCAGCGCTCATCGGCTTTGAAAAATCGAATGTATGATGGGAATTATCACGGCGTGAGTACTGAGCTTCAGCAAGCAATTCTTGCATGTGTCGGGCTTTTTCTAATCATAGTGAGCAATGAACCTTTGTGAGAACATTAAACGTACCTCGAGCATGGCATTCTTGGTCTGCTCTGAGAAGCCGCTGCTGGCGAATCTGAGTGAGTGATGATCTGGTGGTGCGCACTGTCATGGAGCTACTATCGAGAAGAGTCATAGTAACCCTTGACGACGTCGACATCCGTTTTCTTGTGGGACCCATGGTGGTGGTGGTGAATGTTGTACACGGGGGAAAGGGATAAAAAAGTGCATGTTGCAGGCAGACGTAAGGTCGATCAACACGAGGTCGCCAGGCGCGACATAGCGCACAAGGGAGGGGTGTGAGATCATGGGGGAGGTCAGCAGTGGGATCGGGCATCCACCAGGAGCACAAACACCGAAAGAGCGATGGGATTTGAGCTAGGGACAAGGGAGATATCAAGCTCATCGTTGTTGACGACATTGAGGTTGAGAGAGAACGGCGTGGGAAGTGTCCGGAGGTGTAGTGGTATCAATTGTTCCTATCTGGGGGATGACAAATAGATAGTGTGACCAATCTAATCAGTAGATAAGACTAGATAATTCCCTTATCATATCTGAATATTCCTGCCCTATTTATTTTACCCAAGGGACTGCTGAGTGCTGCGGGTATTGCTGAAGTGCTGCGACAGAGCTTTTCCCCCCTTGTTAGTAACATACATGCTATGCTATATTCGTTACTAATAAGCGTGAGAATAGGTGTTACCCAGGTGGCATAACTGGTAGCTGGAGCAATAGCTATTCTAAAAGGAGATAGGGGTGAGTACGGAGATGAAGGCAGAGCGCTGGGCAGAATAACAGGACAAAGGACCGGACTTTGGTGGGGGAGATCTGGAATTCCAGATCCAGAGGTACAGGATATGACAAATTATTACAGTCCTCAATAGATTCATAGAGCATGTCAACTGCCTCCACAATTCTTTCTGAGGCTATCTTGAGGTCATCCTCCTGTTCTGCTTTCTCCCTTCTGAGTGATTCCAGGAGTGTCAACATGTTGACTAATGTGGTCTGTAGGGCCTCAGAGGTAGAAAGAATTGATGTGACTTGCGGAGCAATGGCTGCGGTGATATTGTTCACTATTTTCGGGGTCAGAGTTTCTGTGATCTGTTGCACAACAGACTCAGCAATCTCTGATGCTACTTGCTGTTTCAAAAGGAACACCACTGCTCAAATAACATTGATGACAGGACATGGGGTGGGTTTGACCATTTGCGTGATTTGGAAGAGGATACCAACCAGGTGTGGTAGAGTAAGAGGTTCATCAGCCTGATGCAGTAGGGTGCTAGCTAGATATTTTTCAGCTAAATCTATGTCCTCAACTGCACCTGTAATCACTTCTATATCTTCTTGAGGCAAAGAACTATTTGCAGGGTTGGAGCTGCAGGTGGCTGGTAGGCCTGAGCCTTTGGGGCTCTTTTTTCTGGTGCTTTTCCTGGCACCATCTGTGCAGGTTAGTATCTATAGTATGTTTTTCGAGGTTTTTAAATGGTTTAAAATTGAAATTGAGATTGAGGGTGGTGTCATTGGGTGATGTTTGACACTGCTGAGTGTGATGGCCTGGTGTGGTGTCTGGGGTCCTTTTTTGGGGTGCTACCTAGTGTGAGACTAAGAGGTGATTGGTCAGACAGTTAATAGTGCCATGGAGGTTCATCAATGTGGCAGTACTCACAGCCTCCTTCACAGCCTTTTTGCCAGTGGTCCCCTGCAACTTGCTACTGCCTATGGCTGATGCTTTCAACTTCTTCAAGTCTTCTAATACATCAGTCGTCCATAATACTGAATAATAGCTGATGGAAGAGGGAGGTGAATTATTGAGAACCATGTCAGAGTGAGAGCATTTTCTGGTGCTAGATGCTGATGAAAGAGGAGGGGCGACTCTTCTAATGCTAGATGCTGATGAAAGAGCAGGGGCAACTCTTGTGGAGCTCTCAGCTCCAAGCCCCAGAGGGCTGATAGGGAGAGCAAGGGGTGCAATGTCTCAACCAGAGTCGTCATCAGTATCCATCCTACTCATATTATACATCAGGGTTATCAATATTTGGGAGAAGGTTTTAATGTTGGTTTTTGGGCAAAACTTTAAGTTTCATCTATGATGTACAACATTTAAACCTGTCCTAAATATTGATAACCCCAATGTGTTAGCATCTCCAGAAGCAGAAATGCCTCCAGGGTCACCACTGCTAGTAGAAGCTGCAGCAGCAGCAGCAGCTGGGTTATATGCAGCAGCCCCTTGTGCAGTGCTGATCTCTGGCAGAATTTGTTCTATCTTCTCAAGATATTGCCATCCGGGATTTGTATGGTCTTTCATGACTCCATTGGACTTTGAACAGACAGTGTGTTATGATCAATGTTTCACCTAATGGCAAAAGGTATCACACAACCACTAGGACTCGTCAAGGATGAGATAATCAGATAGATTGAGAGGTAAATGTCTGAGTCTACACTGGGTAGGAACGAAGAGGTTAAGTCTAAAGAGAAACTACGCTAACTACCCTACCTATATACATAACATTGAGTCAGAGTTATCTGAGTCTGTAAATAATCAGCCAATGAGAAAGAATCGTACGATACTGCACATGATGTAGTATGATGTCGTGATATATAAGCAATGATGTCAGAGACGGAGATTAAGTGATAGGAAGACATATGGTTCTAGCCCTGGGCGTAGGGGATCCGATCGGAGATGTGACTGGTGAAATGTGAAGGGGTGAAACTGTGATATGGTGATGATGTGATAATGTGAAAGGTAGTGGTGTCACGTGACCGGTTCGGGTATGGGACATAGCCGAAGGAAAACTGAGAAATGAAAAATGATTCGTGTTAGGGATTTGTGACATTACCCCCTCTTTAAGGTGAGTGTCCTCACGAACATAGGATGGTCGAATATTCTTCTGTCTCCATTCTAAGAAACCAGGAGTTTGTAAGACTGGAATGATTGCACTTGCAATTCGACGCGATTTGGGTGCATCGGGATTTGCCGTGTAAAACTCGCTGACTAATTTTGGGGAGTTTTTTAGATTTTCTTCGTTTTCCCATGTCGCTTCCTCTAATGGATATCCTTTCCACTTTGATAAGAATTGCAACCGGTTTCGCCATACTCTGCTGGCTATTACTGCTTCTACTTCGTATTCTTTCATTCCTTCCACGATTTCAGGAGGTGGACGCTCTGGTGTGGTGCGAGTTGTCAATGACGAGGTTTTATGAGCGGTGAGTAGTTCTACATGGAAAACCGGGTGAATTTGATAGGATTCCAGTAATTTCAACTTGTAGTTCAATTCGCCTACTCGTTCGAGTATTTCGAATGGACCAAGGCGGCGATCCGACAACTTCTGACTCGGTTGTTGTTATTTGATGTTTCTGGCGTCTAGCCAAACCTTTTGTCCTACTTCGAAAATTGGTGCGTCTTTTACTCCTCGATCATAGAAGTGTTTCATCCGATCATTGGCGATTTCTAGCGTTGCCTTTGCTTCGTCTTGTGCCTCCTTCATTTCTGCTATTCTTTGATCGGCTAATGGAATGGTGTTGGAGGAATTAGGGGAGATGATAAATTCGGGATTATAGCCGTAGAGGCATTTGAAGGGAGAGTGTCCAGTTACAGTAATGGAATTGTTATGCGTGAATTCTGCAATGGGAAGCCATGATGCCCAATTGTTCTGTCGGTAAGACATAAATGCTCGAAGGTATTGTTCCACTTCTTGGTTTACTCGTTCTGTCTGCCCGTCTGTTTGTGGGTGATATGCAGTCGACATAGACCATTTGGTCCCTAGTCTTTTTGAGACTTCTTGCATGAATTTGGATACGAATTGCGTTCCACAATCGGAAATCACCTTCTTTGGTGTTCCGTGCAATTTCCATACGTATTTAAGAAACAAGTCCGCGATTCCCTTCGACATAACGTCTTTGGTGGTTGGCGCAAGATGGGCTTGCTTGGTGAAGCGGTCGACTACTACGAGGATACTGTCTTTGCCTTCTGATTTGGGAAGATCGGTAATCAGGTCACAGCTAATTGTTTGCCATGGACCTTCGGGAATTTCATTAGGCTTCAAGGGACCATGGGGTTTAGATGGTAACACCTTCGTTTGTTTGCATCTGTTGCATCCATCTACGTAGTCATTGACCCACTTCTGCATCTGCGGCCACCAATAGTTACGAGAAACGAGTTCAAGAGTTTTAGCACGGCCCATATGTCCTGCTGCGGGTGAATCGTGAAAGATTTCTAACACCGAGCGACGAATGTCTTTGTTATTGGGTACGTAAACTAATCCTCTAAAAAGAATGAGTCCATCTTCTGTATTCCACTCTTCTAGTCCTTTTCGCAGTTGGACTGGGGCCTTCTTAAGGGTTTTGATAGCATTTCGGACTTCTGGATCTAGATCCGTGCAGTTTCTGATTTGTTTAAGCAGTGTTTGCTCTCCTTGTATCAGAACTTGACCTCTTTTTGCGGCTTTGATTTGGAAAAACTCGGGTTTCAAAAGCACGCGATCTGAATTGTCGTTTTCTACCCCCCCTCCGTGGTCTGGCCTCCTGGACAGAGCGTCGGCAGTGTCGTTG